TCAGTGCTTCCTTTTGCTCACATCCCAAGAACATGAGCTGCATGCAGTCCTAAGTTCAGCTACAAACCCGTGTACATCGCATTTATCAAAGCCTTTGAGGAGCGAGCACAGGATTCGGATCACTGCTTGCACGACTCACAAACTTTCCTAGTGCAATCCAAGCTCATGAAAAAACACTGCAGACTACCAAGATACAAGAGATGGCAATTCTCTTCTTTCCTGCCAGACCAAGCTCAGCCAAGCTCCCAGATCACTCCCTGGCGGCAGGCCTTGCTGCGGGAACCCAGTAGCCTAGCCGATCTTTCTTATGCTCGACCATGAGACATTCCAAGAAATACCAGGAGTCTTGGGATGACAGCACTTCGCGCTCTGTAAACACCTGCCGAGCATGATAAATGGAGAGGTCCCGCAAATCCTCGATTTTCGTATCTGTGTTCATGAGAACTTCGACACTGCAACTCTCGCTGCAACCGTTGTTGAAGCATGCATCCAACCGCAAGGTCAGCCGCACACTGAAAACAGTAGCTGCTTCAACGAAAAATTGGGCCATGATCTTCCGGATGGGCTTCGCCACTATGACCTGCTGATTCTGCGTATGCTTGTAGATGAGCAGTGAAGCCTCGAGCCTGGGATCTCGCGGGCCAACTTGCGGGCTGGGACCGGTATTCAAAAGCAAAAGATGTAAAAGTAAAAGGGAATGATGACATGCTACACTGTTACTGCACTGCAAGAAACATTCGTTGGGAACAGAAATACTTGGTGGACGCACTGAACCCCAGACCACGGATACAGCATGGATAGATGCCTTCCTCCTCCTTACGGAGGACCGTCGCCCAAAGATCGCTGAGACTCGTGCTCGCAGCACGCCAACCCAAGAAAGGCCACACTGGATAGAATTCCTGAATGGAATCGTGAGGGACCACCGCATACTCCCAAGCCATGCTAGCTGACGTGCCGCAGTGCCGCTCAAGGCACAAAAGATGCCTTTCAAAACTTGACCCGCCGAGCTTCGATTCAGCTATGGAATGTGCAAGGTGTAACTCGCACTGCTTGCTTCCTTCATAAAAGGCATGCAGATGTCCCTACCGTAGGCCCTAGGTTTCAACAAGCTCTCAGTAGCCCTTTTACTTCCTTCCTGCTACAGTCGGAATCCCTGGTAGGTGGAGCCGGAAGGACACTCGGTTTTTTGGGGTGTGTGTCGATTGTAGGTGATCAACTATACCGACTTGTGTCCTTCCGGCTCCACGGTCCACAAACACTTCAGGGCCTAAGTTTTTAAAAGCCACATAGGAATCAAGATTCGGCTCAGCTCGGAGAAATTGCAGCCTCGGATGCTTGACTTGCACTTGCACTACCGCAAAGTCTGGCTTCAACCGCAACACAAAACAAATCGATCTAACCACCTCCGGAAAAGCAATATATAAGTTATAAAAGCAAAACCTACACCTATACTAGTAAACCTACACAACCTACAGTACCTACAGCTCACAGACGCCTGGACAGGTGTTCCACACCGCCCCTGAGGCCCCTGTCCAGGCGCGTTGACGCTTTTTTTAAGGTGGTGCGTCTTCCCCAGGAGGCCTACTTTTCCACCATTCAACGCCATAAACAAAATGTTTTTGACTCATACAAGTGAAGAGAAACTCTCGGCAAACATACGGAGCAGCGACCAGCCATCTCAGAACCCTCTTGCGAAAGTCAGCAACCTGCTCCCTTCTCCGGCAGACATAAACCTCTTACCGTAAGAGAAGGCGGTGTGGTGTAGTGCGAACCTGCAACCCCGAGACGAGTGAGGACAGAGCGGAAGTCCTCAGATGCGACAAAAGTGCTCAAACTACTGTGAACCGACTCGTTTATCGGCAGACCCTTAAAGTCGCGAAAGGCGTCCTCCTCTAGACACAGCAGTTCCGCAAGATCTGAGCTCAAGGCTCTCAAGAGCATCCGAACCAGATGGCCTCCGCAGATCCCAGCGAAGGGTCTGAAGACAACCAACTTATGTCCGTCGTGAGCTGTTGATGCAACTGCTGCGTCATTGACAAGACCCTAACAAATGGGTGACTTCAGTGCTGCACTTGCTCAATCGATCCCACGCTTTCAATGCAGTAATGACCACCTATCCTCGTGTGGCGTAGACCCTCAAACGCGGGCAGCATAGCCCAGCACCAGCACAAGATACAACAAGACTTTTTGTCTGCACCCCCTTCAGGCATATCCAAGGCGCTCCTGCAGATCTTTGATGGGACCATACAGATCCAGTGTCTTCAAGACTGCTAGGGAGGCCTGCATACACTCGTCGGCCTTAGGGTTCTTAGTCAGGTTCAGCCCAGCAGAGTAGGCAGGCTCTCCACGGTTGATATCATCAAGGCGGGCTGAGTTGAGCATCTCTTCCTGCTGCTCCGGTGTGATGATGCCACCGAACATGAAATCAAACATCGCAAGGATGCTCGCGTCGAAACTCTGCGAAGACTGGGTCAGGTTCTCATACCTGGAGTTGAAAACCTCACCGACCTCACCTCGGGAATTCTCATAGATCCTCGTCATGTCTTCCATGACTGGGAATATGTTCGGGAACACCGCCTGCAAGCCCTCCTCGGGGCCCATGAACAGGATGTCCGGCCAGGGGGCCAGGAAGTCGTCCCCACGGTTGTGATAGCAGTAGCCAGCGGCGAGCATCGTAGCCGGATCACGGATGCTATGCACAGCCTTGAAGTTGATGCCTTCTGCATGAGCATGCGCCCGGTCTTTCTCCAGCTGCTTATAGGTTAGCTGGTGATGCCAGTGAATAGGACAGTCCCACCAGCCTGGAGTGGACCTGCAAAGATGGTGTCCACCTTTTGAGGTAATCGTGGAACTCCCCAGCAGGAATTCGCGGCAGGAGTAATTGGCACCTAAATAATCGAAGGCCCGCTTGATGATGCTTTGGTACTGCACGCTACCCGCTTGGTGGTGTGTTGCCACGAGGTAGCCATGTACGTCCCACGGCTTCACAGTACCCTCAGCATGGCGATTCAACTGCACATGAAGCGACTTCTGCAGAAAGTAAGAGTTGCGGCAGGTCACTTCATCATCTAGACAGCTTGCATCAGACTCCGGGGAGGTGGCGCCCAGACCCAGAGAAACAAAAAGGTACCAGCATCGCATGGACACGCGAAAAAGGAAGATACACAGGTTTCGGTTGCAAGTTGCGAGCCAAGACGCTCAGGCCGCTTGCTGTGAGAGATGGATGCTACGGAAGACGAACAGAACCCTTGACCCTCCGTGAAACCCCAAACCGACAAACCCTTCAGAGAAAGCCAAACAACCCTTGACACGGATTTACAATGACCCCCAAGCAATAAGTGCCCTGCACACCGAAACCCCAAGTAGAGCGGTTTGCTCTTTGTTCTCAATTCTCCAGTCTCTTTCGAGCGCTTTGCTCCTGGTTCCCAAATTCTCTACTCGTTGCAGATCTGCAGATATGTTTGTTTCCAGTTTCTGCATCTACTGTACCGACAGAAATGACATACCGGGAATTCAACCCATCTTGGCAAAGACCTCGTCCCGAAGGCTCTGGGAAGCCTCCTGCTGGACTCCGGATGATCGAGGGAAGGAGGGACTCCTTCATACGCCGCTTGCAGCACTGCCTGGCTTCAATCAAGGCCGAACAAACCCAACATCCGCCGGTGTTTTCGTCTGCACGATGGCGATGGGAGCACTCTACTTCTCGTAGCTGCTGAAAGGTCGGTGTTTGTCGCACTTCAAACTCAGATCGGCACTGCCCCAATCCCCGCCTCTGCCGCTTCCGAACAGGCCGCAGATGCAAGCACGCTGGCAACGCTGCGGTCGAAACCTGCATCGCACCCACACCCAATGGAAAACCCTGAATTGCCTGCGAGCTTCATACTGCAGCTGCCCGCTACCCCTTCTGCAGCGCCTCCTGAAGTAGGTCGATCTTGCTCGGCGACATCCTCACAGCGGAGCTTCTTCGCTCGATCTGTGCTTTGTGCAAAGCTGCTTCCGCCTTCGCACTGGACTGCGGCTCGGAACTGCCGGGCTGCACCTTCAGACACGAGAAACCAGAGCTTCGACAGCTGCTGCTGCTGCTGCTGCTGCTGCTGCTGCTGCTGCTGCTGCTGCTGCTGCTGCTGCCACGACCGGCATAAGCGCGGTTTTCCGCTTCCGACTTCCACTCACAACAACTCGCAACTTCAGATGCTTCACATGGGCTGGTGCTCTTCCTCTCCTCGACCTTCCCCCTGTACCGCGACGCGGAGCTGTGCTCTGCTGGCCTCGAGCAGAAGCTTCGCAGCGGCGGCCGCACCCAGCTTTCCCGCTTCCTCAGAGCCAGAGCCAACGCCTGGGCGAGGCGGTTCGGGGACTGTCAGGTTACGGGGGAGCGGCCGGGCCCCCTCTTCCTTCTCTTCCGTCGCCGCGTGGCAGGTTATCTGCTGCACAACTCTCCCTGCAGAACTCTAGCGGGCAATGAGTGGCTGATCCGAGCTCAAGGCTCTCAACGGCGTCCGTGCGAGATGGCCTGCACACGAAACGAACTTTTCTGAGCAGTACGGTGCTGGGCAAGTCGCTCTATGTCTTTTTGCTTTGGTTTTCCAAGTCTGTCTGCTTTAGGTTTCCGTCTGCGCGTTTCTGTCATGTGTCAGATCAACACCAGAATTGTCTGATGTGCCTTCTGGATACTGGCGTGTTGCCCGCGAGATCGCCTTTAGCTTTAGCATACTGTAGGAAATCCTTTGCTGTCGCATTGCTTGAATCACGCTGCTGTGGACATTGCTGAACAAACATTCTCGTACCATGCCATATCGTGTGCAACTGTCACGGCCTGAAGGCCGCTTGCCATCTCTCGGCACTCCTGGAGTCCTACGAGTATCACCTACTGACCCCCTTTCTGTAATTTTCTGAAAATCGTCACCGAGGTTTGGACCCGAGCTCTCTGGCCCGCTTGTTGCTATATGTAAAAGGTCGGCTCTGCACGCAAAACGCTTACAGCATCTTACAGCGACAGCCTCCTGTCGGCTTCGAGCTGGAGGCATGGAAGGACCTCTTCGTAAGCAGCTTGCATCACCGCCTGACGCGCAAGAGACTGTCGTTATCGTGAACCAGGTGGCCCAACTACTGAGGAAGTTGACATGGCTGCAAAGCCTGCTACAAGTAACATGCTGACAGCTGCAGCGACTCAAGCCGTGGCTTGCTGAAAGTCGGTGTTTGTCGCACTTCAAACTCAGATCGGCCCTGACCCAATCCCCGCCTCTGCCGCTTCCGAGCAGGCCGCAGATGCAAGCACGCTGGCAACGCTGCGGTCGAAACCTGCATCGCACCCACACCCAATGGAAAACCCTGAATTGCGAGCGAGCTTCATACAGTATCTGCATTCTGCAGCTGCCCGCTACCCCTTCTGCAGCGCCTCCTGAAGCAGGTCGATCTTGCTCGGCGACATCCTCGCAGCGGAGCTTCTTTGCTCGATCTGTGCTTTGTGCAGAGCTGCTTCCGCCTTCGCACTGGACTGCGGCTCGGAACTGCCGGGCTGCACCTTCAGACACGAGAAACCACAGCTTCACCAGAAACGAACCGGCCATGTTTCTCGGGACAGAGATGCAGGTCTTTCTGAAGCCCGATAGTCACCGTGCCATCATCGCTTTCATGGGTGCTCGGGGACTTGCGAATGCTAAATCGGGGATGCACCACCAGGACTGGCTGGGCCCTCCTATCGCAAGCGTTTAAAGGCCTTGCTAGGGCCATGACCTTCGAGTTGTGCATGATCCTCGCCATGTCGCATCGGTTCAGGAAGGACAAAACACTTCAGGGCACGTCACAGTTCCAACTTCGGGCACATCTCTCCCATTTTGGCGAAGGTCCCGCCTGCTTCACGTCTTCGACAAGTCCGTCTATCAGTGATTGGGCAAGGTTGTCCATCATTGCCAACCTCAGCAGGCTATATCTGGTTCCCACAACTACGTGGAGGTTCATGGGTAGTTATAAGCGGGGCTATAAGGCTCCGAATATGGGTTATAGTTATAGCCATCCTACTTATAACCCTATTTTTAACTACCCATGAACCTGCCCTTATAGAACCCTTCTAGAGCTCTTACAGATCCCTTAAAGGACCCCTATAAACCCTACGAAAGTAATGTGTCATTGTGTCATGGGCATCTCTCAACGGGACGCAAGACTGGAACAACCTCCCCTTGCCCAGTGCGAAACCGCTTGCCGTCCAGCAGCAACTCCTTCGATCTCGGAGGCTCAAGCAACACCGAGGCCTGGAAAAAGCAGCTCTTGTTAACAATGGTCATAATAGTAAGAGTAGTAGTAGTAGTAGTAGTAGTAGTAGTAGTAGTAGTAGTAGTAGTAGTAGTAGTAGTAGTAGTAGTAGTAGTAGTAGTAGTAGTAACAATAATACTACTAAAATACTAATACGAATACTAATACTAATAATCATACTAGTAGCCATAGCTTAGGATTTCGAGACCAGGAACGGGTTTGCGCTTTGTTTGGCTTGGGTTCACTGCTGGGGTTTAGGGGTCGAGGACAGCTCCAGCGCATCCAGCGCCTCCGATGCGGGACCAGAGATGATTGGCATTGGCACGGCGGCCTGCTTGGAGGTTCTTGGGTAGTTATACGTAGGGCTAGAAGTAGGATAACTATAGCTATAACCCATATTACGGGACTTGTAACCCCACTTATAACTACTCATCTACCTCCAAGTGCAGTTCCACGGCCGCAAAGTGACTTTGGATGTCTTTGTTGCAGCAGCCGGGTCTAGAACTACAAAGGGCAGTGAATCGGTCTGCTGACAGGTTTGCAGGCCAGCGGTGGCAGTTCACACCGACGCATTCCACTGAAAGCCGTCACCTGTAAGTCCTCGCCCAGTGAAGATGCCGGAATGCTTCCCGCTGTGCCTGTGCAAGCGTGGGCTCGGAGATGGAAAGAGCATGCAAGGACTGACTGCCACGAAAAACTGCAAAAGTTTGCCCCACCGGCGCTGAGAGGTCGAACCCCGAGTCTCTCCTGCGTGCACGGACTCGTCTTCCAGCGGCAACTTGCAAGTTCTGCTTCTTTCGTCAGACTTTTCATTTGCTACAGCTCGGAGAACCCGGTTACTAACCATAGAAGTCCTTCAAGGCAGAAACCATCACCGCCGCGTCAACAGCTGCCGAGGCCTACGAGCAAATTCTTACCAGAATCAGCCGCGTTTCACAGCTACAGTACGACAAACTGAATGCGCCTGCGAGACCACCACGGACAATGCTTCCTGCGAACTGTCGCCAGCGTAGCAGGCTGCCTGCACAAGCTCCTGGACAGGACGAGTGAACAATTTCGAACGTCGGCCGCCAGGTGGTGAGGAGGACGTACATTGCAGACCCAAAGCGTACTCGATGAAAGACGGCTCTTGCAAGCTCCCATTCGTCACTGAAGGGGAAGTCCTTGGCCAAGTCCAGTTCCGAAGACCCTGTGGAACTCTGACCTGTGCCGGCATCCAGCCATGACCGGTCGTGAAGGACTGTGAGAAAAGCTGTTGGCAGACTTGTGAAGGACTGATGCAACGAAATCCGACAAAGCAAAAAATCCTACTTCGGGCCACATGTTCTGAACTCTCGCTGGCAAGTCTTTTGCCTGCGCTGGGTCGTCGAGCTTCTAATTTCTCCTTCACAAGTGCTCCAGCGCTGACAAGGGATGTTGAGAAGACAGCCCCGACGCCTGCAACGAGGCAATCATCTCCGTGGCTTCCGCCGCTGCCGAGGCCTCCAGTGGACTCGAGACAGTTTGAGTCTGGGACCGTCTTCTCCAGCCAATACGGGAGTTTCCGAAGATTAGGGGTACCTTCTTATGGTGTCCTTACAATAAGGATCCTACTATTTAGGGGTACTATATTAGGGTCCCCCATTTTTGGAAGCTCCCATACAGTAGCTCTGGGGAGCGGCTGGATCTGCCTGGGAGACCACCACAGACACTGCTTCCTGCGGACTGTCGCCAGCGTAGCAGGCAGCATGCACGAGCTCCTGAACAGTTCGCCGGTAAGGGCAGACTGTACCGAAAAGTGGGAAACTTAGAAAACGAAGAAAAGAAGTTCATATCGAGGGACCACGGAACTCCGAATGAGAAGACAGACAACTCTAACGCACTGCAGTCCGTGGCGAGGTCCAGTTCCGAAGTCCGTGCCGACGTCTGGCCTGCTGCAGCGAAACAGCGAGCAGTGAGTCCAACAAGTGTACACGCAGCTTCAGGATCAAAGGTGCGTTCAAGCACGGGGGCACCTGAAGCTCCACTCCGAGGGGTATCGCGTGCCTACCGTGCCGTTCTCGCCGGAAGCAACACTCGCCCCTTGCAGCACTCGCCCTGTGCAACACTCGGCCTCCGCTGCAGGAGGCGAAGGCTCGGTGTCGACGAGTGCCTGCATTTCCTGCATCTCCTCCTGCAGCCGAACTGCTTGGCAGCTACACGGAGCACCCCGCACGAGCTTTTGACAAAGTTGGCGAGAGAATCGCTTCTCCCTGCCTGCTCCGGGGCCAGCGTGGCCACCTGTTGTCAGCCATCTCGGCTGCCAAGGTCGCTGCGTGTGTTTCCCAATGCACCGTTACCCGCCTCTGCGGCATCGTCCTCCGCATGGTTCTTGCCAGGAATTTCGGCCAGACCCGCCGTCAGCGAGGCAGCCAGAACATTTATCTCAGCATGCCTCAGCTGTGATCGTTCGCGTTGCGCCCTCACCGTCTCACATCCAAAGGCAAACGAGCTGCAGCTCGTCCTGCGACTTTGGAACCTGCTCGAGGAAAACGGTTGCCTGCGAGAGGGACTTCTACCAGACGACGCACACATTCTTCGTCAGCTCATGCGACATACCACGAGCGAATGCCTCGGAAGGTGGACTCGAAGTGCTTGCTGGCAACAAGGCCTCTAGCTGCTCTAGCCACTGAAACTCACATCTGCTACATTCGGAAAACACATTTAGAGGGTGAAGCTGCAATCAAGTGCCAAAACTCGTGCAAGAGCGTCCGTGCCTCTGCTTCGAGACCGCCCTCTGCCCGGTCTTCACCAGGCGAAGCATCCAAGCCGGCCGTCAGCGAAGCTGCCAGCACATCCATTTCCTGCAGCCTTGGCTGTCGTTTAGTCCCTGCGTGGCAGAAGGAGTCCCCAAACTTACCCAAGAGCTAATCAGCTACCCACAGTGTGCTGACTAAACTGTATTCAAGTTGCAGTTCCTCCTTTGTCTTTGGGATGTGCTCGAGGAGAACCGTTGCCTGCAAGAAACGACTCTAATCCAGTCTGTCAGTAGATGCCTACCCGCTCAAAAAGCACATCCATACCTCCGAGGGTGGACCCGATGAACGTTCTGGAACTGGGGCCTCTGGTTGCGAAACAGTCAGAAGCACATCCAGCAGACAGACATGCCCGCAAACAGAGCTGCTCAGCTGCAAAGAAGTGCCGCATGGGTGCCTCCGCTTCGAGATCGCCCTCTGCCCGATCGTCACCGGGCGAAGCATCCAAGCCGGCCGTCAGTGAAGCTGCCAGCACATCCATCTCTTGAAGCCTCGGCTGACGTCTGCATCCACTCGCGGAATGCATTTCCACCCGCCGTCGCCCGTAAACGGCAATCAAGCGGCAGCTCGTCCTTCGTTTTGGGGATGTGCTCCAGCATGATGGTTACCTGCAACGAACCACCGAATGTCTCGCCGACACAGCTCCGAGAAGTCACGGCGCAAGCCTCGGAAGGTGGACCCGACGGTCGACTGAAGCCAGGCTCGAGTCCGTCCGTCAGCGAAGCTGCCAAGACGTCCACCTCTTCCAACCTCGGCACGGCCAACGCAGTCGCTACTCGCACTTTGGAAGGCACCACGGCCTGCCGCCCAGCCACAGCTCCTCCTTCGATTTCGGGAGGGGCTCCGCCGAGGTCGCCTGGAAAGGATACCCCTGCAAGAGGCCGCAAGCAAGCCTGTCAAGCAGTCTTCACGGCAAGTGCCCACTGCAGATTCCGTCCTCGTCCACCGAAGATGCCGGGAAGGTCCCTGTCACCCATCAAGAACATCTTGCTTAATGTAGGAACCCTGGGCCTGTAACCCCAAAAATTGTAAGATTCATATCAGGAACCCTAATAAAGGCCCAAGGTTTCTTAATCAGGTTCCTACATGGTTATAACACCCTTATTATAGATCTCCTATAGGAGCCCTTATAGACCCCTTTTAAAGGAACCCTAGTAAAGGCCCAAGGTTGCTTCATCAGGTTCCTACATTAATCCATTAAGTCTGGCTAGCCTGACTGGGACAACTCCCACAAGTGTTCGCTCCCAAAGAGCCGGCCTGCATCAAGTGGTCGAGCAACCAAGACCTCCTCGCTATCATGAGTCTTAGATATAGAGCCTGCTCACCTAGGGTGTTGGGGGATCTTCGGGATACTTAGGCCGTTTGAGTTAGGGTTTGGTGATTTGTCTACAAGTGTCGCTTGCGGCCACTCACCTGCAGCAAAGGCGGAGCTCAAAAGTCCTCCGGACGAATCCGGGTGGCCTCCACGGATTCAGTCGCCTGCGGCATATCGCGGGCAGACCCCCACACGCGTTTTCATCGACGTATACTTGGCCCTGCAAGTCGTGACCGTATTTATCAACTTAAGAGGTAGGTTAAATCCTCTGCGACGAGGCCCTGAAGCTCAAAATCGGACGTGCCGAGAATCCAGTATGAGACACTGGGGAGTCCCAAGGCCATGGATTGCACAACCAAAAAGTGTTCGAACATAGTGATATCAAAGCAGGGTAAGCAACAGCTGCAAAATTGCTGGTGGTAATACTAATGACTGCAGGGGGTGCTAGGTGGTTGCTGCTCCTTCCAAGAGGCTTGTCTGCTACCTCTTCCTGCCTCGCGTCTCACTCTGACAAGTCCACTGTGCTATCTGGCTCTTTCGCTTCAGTCTTACTCGGTTAGCCCTCGAGGAAGGTGCCTGCGACACCACCACAGACAATGCCTCTTGTGGAGTATCACCAGCTTGGCACGCTATGTGCACGAGCTCCTGGAGAAGGGGGTCTGGGGAGAGGAGGTCAGAACTCGTCGTGCCTTGGGGTCTTGCCGCTATGACTTCATCGCATCAGCAGCGTGCTGCTTGTTAATCATCATGCACTCGCAAGACATCAAGCACCCCGCACCCAAGGCAATCCTTGGCCAACTCCAGCTCTGATGTGCCTGCGGAAGTCTGACCTGACCAAGCATTATCCGAACAGGGCGTCCGGATTCGCCGCGGGCGTGCTGACATTCGTCATGCACGGATCTTGCTTTGGCTGTCGGAGTGCAGACCCCTACTGAAGGCCCTACTGTAGCTGACCTCAGAACTGCATTCAGGCTGGTGATTCCGTTCTGCATTCTCATGTTGCTCTTGATACTCCGGAGATGCCGCTCCGGACATGCCAGCACTGCACCATTCCCAGGTAGCTACAACAAGCTGGTCAGCAGTCCATACCCGCCCGTAATTACGACAATCTTGGCGAGCCTACTGATGCCTACTGCATTGTCGGGAATGGCTGGATGCATCTACTGCTGAAGTGAAGTGATTGACTCATTGAGCCACACCGCCCTTGTGCGTTCAAGGCAGTCTGACGGCAGGGGCAAGCTCAAGTCACACCAGGTCTTCCACCTGCGCTGGCTGGTCGAACTTCCGGGCTCTCCTGATCAGTCCGATTCTTGTGGTTGAGAATCAAGCATGCTCACACCCTCCCAAGTCCTGCAAGGAGACAACCATCTCCGTTGCATCAATGGCGGTGGCCTGCAAGGAGCCAAGGAACACCCGTGCAGCTGACTTTGGAACCTCAACACTGGCTAAAAAACAGAGCCGGCTGTCCATTACACTGCATTCACGGTGCCGCTGCTGGCAGCAAATCTGTGCTGCAAGAGCCACTGAGGGTGCCTGCGACACCACCACGGACAGCGCTTCTTGTGGGGTGTCCTGGGCTTGGCAGGCGGCGTGCACCAGCTCCTCGCGAAGTCAGAAGAGAAGTTCGCAGGAACTCCCACCAACTTCGGACCTTTGGACCTGTTACTGTTTCTTAACGGGAAGACCAGATCGCAACGCACGGCAGTCCGTTGCCAAGTCCAGTTCGGAACTTCGTGCCGATGTGTGACCTGCCCGTGTCTTCGCAGCCAAAGAGTAAGCAGCGGATCAAGCACAACTTACTCACAGCTTCCTGCGCAGAGGGGGATTCAAACAAAGACGCGCCTGAAGCTCCACTCCGAGGGGTATCCCGTGCCTACCGTGCCGTTCTCGCTGGAAGCAACACTCGCCCCTTGCAGCACTCGCCCTGTGCAACACTCGGCCTCCGCTGCAGGAGGCGAAGGCTCGGTGTCGACGAGTGCCTGCATTTCCTGCATCTCCTCCTGCAGCCGAACTGCTTAGCAGCTACACGGAGCACCCCAAAGTTGACGAGGCAAGTCGAAATCTCATTCGCTTCTCCCTGCCTGCTCGGGGGCCAGTGTGGCCACCTGTTGCCAGCTATCTCGGCTGCCAAGGTCGCTGCGTGTGTTTCCCAATGCACCGTTACCCGCCTCTGCGGCATCGTCCTCCGCATGGTTCTTGCTAGGAATATCAGCCAGACCCGCCGTCAGCGAGGCAGCCAGAACATTTATCTCAGCATGCCTCAGCTGTGATCGTTCGCGTTGCGTCCTCACTGTCTCACATCGAAAGGCAAACGAGCTGCAGCTCGTCCTGCGACTTTGAAACCTGCTCGAGGAAAACGGTTGCCTGCGAATGGGACTTCTTCGTCAGCTCGTGCGACGTGCTACGAGCGAATGCCTCCGAAGGTGGACTCGAAGTGCTTGCCGGCAACAACGCCTCCGGCCACTGAAATTCATATCTGCTACAGCCAAGCAGTCAGGATCAACACGTTTGGATGCGAAGGAGCACGAAGCTGCGAAGAATCGCCGCAACACCTGCAAGAGCATGGGTGCCTCCGCTTCGAGATCGCCCTCTGCCCGATTGTCACCGGGCGAAGCATCCAAGCCGGCCGTCAGTGAAGCTGCCAGCACATCCATCTCTTGAAGCCTCGGCTGACGTCTGCATCCACTCGCGGAATGCATTTCCACCCGCCGTCGCCCGTAAACGGCAATCAAGCGGCAGCTCGTCCTTCGTTTTGGGGATGTGCTCCAGCATGATGGTTACCTGCAACGAACCACCGAATGTCTCGCCGACACAGCTCCGAGAAGTCACGGCGCAAGCCTCGGAAGGTGGACCCGACGGTCGACTGAAGCCAGGCTCGAGTCCGTCCGTCAGCGAAGCTGCCAAGACGTCCACCTCTTCCAACCTCGGCACGGCCAACGCAGTCGCTACTCGCACTTTGGAAGGCACCACGGCCTGCCGCCCAGCCACAGCTCCTCCTTCGATTTCGGGAGGGGCTCCGCCGGGACGGTCGCCTCGTCCTGCGGTCTCGGTACAATCAAACAAGGACCCCAAGGAAGTGAATCCAAGACTTCAGACATTAATCGTGGACTTAATCGCTCGGTAGCGGCCCCGTGGCGATCCCCCCGCACAATTAATTTGTGTGGTTGGCCCCTGCACCGTTGAGCAAGAGTCTGTGGCATGCCTGGTGTGCCATGCAGATGGCACAATTATATACGAGGATTTACCTCAAGACGCACAAAAACGATAATCGAGATCTACGGGGACTAAACTATCACTAAAACCTGTCCACAACGGAACAATTAAATCAGGGTCAAACTGCCTCCCAGTATCAAGGCCTCATTCTCAGTGCTCGCTATAGTCAACACAGGCACTAAGGTGATTTAGGCTTAACGCTTGGGGTTGCCCAAGGGATGCCAAGTCTACATGTGAGCATGTGCGTCTACGGGGAGCGCGGGCGAGTCTACGACGAGTATCCCTACGCGACCGGTTTAAGATCTCGCGTGCTTTCACCTGGCCGCATTCATGGGTCAGCTTTGCGGACCACTCCGCTGTTCACCGCAAAGGTAGGGGACAGACCGGAAAGGACAAAACCGAAACCGTAGAGGCAACTTTCTTTTAGGGGCGAGCATCTGTGGCATCGAAGCGGCGGTCCATGGCTTTGGAACTGATCATAGCTGGACCCGGTGGGCCCCAGAGAGATGAATCCACCTGACAGGCCTCCTTCGCTAAAGTCTGAAGCCGTCAGCCCAAATTGCCAATACAAACACAACACTCAAAAGATCAAGACGAGGTACTGGACCTCTGAAAGGGGTCCCAACTGGCAGAAATCTGTGTTCAGGGCTTGGATCGCCCTTATAAACCTGTGAAAAGAAGGATGGGCCCATATGGATTCATATGGGACGGGGCGTTTGGACCATATGAAGCCTCTAAAGGACCGGATACCTCACATCATCTCGGACTGGTAAGGACGACAGACGACAGAAAAACTAGATTAGACCAGAATGCAGCCACGCGAACAGGCAAACAATTCGATCTGGATGTAACTGTCCTCTGAGAAACGAACCATAGCCACCATAGCCGCGGCGTCCACGGAAGCAGTTCCCTGCTGCAGCGCATGTGCAGATCCACGACCGACCCATCAGATTTTTTCGTCAAGCCGACGGCCAAACACAATGCCTACATCGGATATCATTCTGCGCAGTTCGCATTGACGGTGCCCCGAGACGCAAGAAGTAAAACTGTTCACAGACTGAAGACCGACTCAAAGTGCCTGCGACACCACCACGGACAGCGCTTCTTGTGGGGTGTCCTGGGCTTGGCAGGCGGCGTGCACCAGCTCCTCGCGAAGTCAGAAGAGAAGTTCGCAGGAACTCCCACCAACTTCGGACCTTTGGACCTGTTACTGTTTCTTAATGGGGAAGACCAGATCGCAACGTACGGCAGTCCGTCGCCAAGTCCAGTTCGGAACTTCGTGCCGATGTGTGACCTGCCCGTGTCTTCGCAGCCAATGAATGAGCAGCGGATCAAGCACAGCTTGCTCACAGCTTCCTGCGCAGAGGGGGATTCAAACAAAGACGCGCCTGAAGCTCCACTCCGAGGGGTATCGCGTGCCTACCGTGCCGTTCTCGCTGGAAGCAACACTCGCCCCTTGCAGCACTCGCCCTGTGCAACACTCGGCCTCCGCTGCAGGAGGCGAAGGCTCGGTGTCGACGAGTGCCTGCATTTCCTGCATCTCCTCCTGCAGCCGAACTGCTTGGCAGCTACACGGAGCACCCCAAAGTTGACGAGGCAAGCCGAAATCTCATTCGCTTCTCCCTGCCTGCTCGGGGGCCAGTGTGGCCACCTGTTGCCAGCTGTCTCAACTGTCAAAAACACTAACAAAGTCGTCAATGATGCACAAAGAAGCGATTGCCAGCCTCTGCGCCATCGTCCTCCGCATGGTTCTTGCTAGGAATATCAGCCAGACCCGCCGTCAGCGAGGCAGCCAGAACATTTATCTCAGCATGCCTCAGCTGTGATCGTTCGCGTTGCGTCCTCACTGTCTCACATCGAAAGGCAAACGAGCTGCAGCTCGTCCTGCGACTTTGGAACCTGCTCGAGGAAAACGGTTGCCTGCGAAAGCAACTTCTTCGTCAGCTCGTGCGACGTGCTACGAGCGAACGCCTCCGAAGGTGGACTCGAAGTGCTTGCCGGCAACAACGCCTCCGGCCACTGAAATTCATATCTGCTACAGCCAAGCAATGCGAAGGAGCACGAAGCTGCGAAGAATTGCCGCAACTCCTGCAAGAGCATGGGTGCCTCCGCTTCGAGATCGCCCTCTGCCCGATCGTCACCGGGCGAAGCATCCAAGCCGGCCGTCAGCGAAGCTGCCAGCACATCCATCTCTTGAAGCCTCGGCTGACGTCTGCATTCCACTCGCGGAATGCATTTCCACCGCCCGCCGTCGCCCGTAAACGGCAATCAAGCGGCAGCTCGTCCTTCGTTTTGGGGATGTGCTCCAGCATGATGGTTACCTGCAACGAACCACCGAATGTCTCGCCGACACAGCTCCGAGAAGTCACGGCGCAAGCCTCGGAAGGTGGACCCGACGGTCGACTGAAGCCAGGCTCGAGTCCGTCCGTCAGCGAAGCTGCCAAGACGTCCACCTCTTCCAACCTCGGCACGGCCAACGCAGTCGCTACTCGCACTTTGGAAGGCACCACGGCCTGCCGCCCAGCCACAGCTCCTCCTTCGATTTCGGGAGGGGCTCCGCCGGGACGGTCGCCTGTAAAGAAGACCCCGACTTACAACGAAAGAACAGCACCGATTCTAGAGGTCCTCCAAGGAGCGAAGCATCGTCTCTGCCTCGACAGACACAGTTGCCTGCAGCACCATAGCGGGAGAGCACAAGAATGGGGCTTTGGGTTTGGGGTCTTCCTCGGGCCACCATGATACGCACGATGCCATACACCTGTACATATGCCATGATACAGCCACATCGGTAACATGTGTGCGCAGCATATCATGCATGCGACGCGCGCAAACATATAACTACATGCATGTATATATTTACAACACACTTCAGACACGGTTCAGTATATCACAATCTGCAACCATATGTTTGCAGCACTTGTATTGCATGCTGCAATCGGGTGAGACCAACTATACAGCTTGCCTTTTACAATGTTACATGCCCTTGCTCAGGAAAGGGTACTCGGAACCGATGAGAAAAAACTAACATTATGTTGACGATAGCCTGCACAGTACATGTATAGTACTACCACTGAACATGGTCACAAGGTAGTAATAGGGAGTAATACTGGCAGTGGCAAGAATAAGGACAGCCGTCATCACCGCCACTATGAACTCCAATCACGACAGCACTGGTAAGACAAGTCGTCGCAACGCCATCGTGAACCATACACGTCACATGAACGTGTATCGCCATCATCAGGACAATGCTATAGCTTTTGAAAGTAGAACAGCAGCAGCAGCATCGGCAGAAGCCGTCGCGGTCGCAGTGGCAGAAGAAGGAGCCGCAGCAGTAGGAGTAGCAGTCGTCGTTGTCGTGGTCGTGGTCGTGGTCGGGGTCGCGGTCGCGGTCGCGGTCTCTGTCGCGGTCGCGGTGGCGGTGGCGGTGGCGGTGGTCGTGGTGACGGCGGCGGTTGTAGTGGCGGTGAGTGGTGAGTGGTGGCGGTGGTGGTAGTAAGTAGTAGTAGTAGTAGTAGTAGTAGTAGTATTGCATTGCGGACGCTGCACCGAGTCGATGCCTTGCGAAGAGGACAAGCAGTATACTGCTCGGCGACTCAGTGGTCGCTGTGCTATTGCACATCCAAGGAATCTACAACTAATAAGCACTCAAAGCACTCAAAGAAAATAGAGCTTCAGTCCATCTCATCGAGTTTGGGTCCTGCCACCACATCTGGAGTGACTGGAGAGGTCTCTGGTTGATCTTGGTCCGAATCGTCCAGAGTCAAATCTATGATGGCTTGGCTTCCACTGGGCTGCCAAGAAACTGAAGGGAATCCGGGACCAGCGGTCCATGCAGTTTCATTCTCAGGATCCAGCTTGGGGGCCATGGCAGTCAGCACTCCGCCGTCCGACTGTACAGTGGTGAAACCATCGGCAAGACTGGAAGAGGCACTGCCCGGGCCCATCCCAGTCGTACCGCCCTGATTTGCGCTGGACCCACTAGCAGCAGTCCCATCCTGCACATTCTCCGACTCCGCGCGAAAAGAGCAGCCTGCACTATGCCTGGTTCTCGAACACTTAGAGCAGCAGGACCGATAGCCCCAGTTAGCCAAACGGCTACACTGATAAGTTTGGCAAGGACCTGGTCGAGGCACTGCATGCGGATCCGCTCTCATCGCTTCCTGGCACACATAACATCTTTCCGTGTGTCGTGCGCCCTGTGTATAATTGCATATGGAACAGCAGTGGCGATGGCGTTCTCCATGGAAATGCACATCGCAGCCCAGCGTACGGCAGCGAAACATGGTCGAGGCCCGCCACGTGTGGCCAAGCAGCCTCGTCTCGCTGATGGAGTTCACCGGTTTGCTCACCAGTCTGCTGTGCACCACTTGGCGTTCTTGCAGCAACAGCTGAAACGCTCCTCCTGTCACAAACACATGCTCTCTCCTGCCTGCGGGACAACAGCAATGTTCGGACCTGAGAAGCACGGCATTCCGGATTGCAGTTCATGGATGCTGCCGATTTTGTGTCTCCACTTGCAGGGAACTGTAGGGGAGCTTTGCATTGCATTTTGTTGCCACGCATGGCCACAGCTGCGGTGGACAAGGTCTACACACCTATGAGTGACTGTACAATGACCTGTCCTGTCACGCACCGGCCCGGCACGAATGCCCGAGCGGCTCGGCACGGAGGAAAAAACACTGGTGCAATACATGGTTTTACCTGGTTTGGGCAGAAGGCAGGGTCCTACGGAGGGGCTACAAAGAAGCACCGAAGCGAGGCAGAATGGCGAGGGCCTAGACTAGTCCACTACCTCGATGTCTAAGGTGTCATCTGCAGCCGGCCCGGCATCAGATCTGGTGTTCCTGTAAGCCGGCAAGCAGAAGCCCATATCCGACAGTGCAATCTTGTGCACTTGTGACAAGCTGGCATGCTGTCCCACCAGGTAGGCGATGACCACAAACCGATTGCCTAGGAAGCCGGGTTCTGTAGCATGTAGACGACAGTGGGTTGGTATGAGGTAAGCTCTAGCACTCAAGTCATAGAAGTTGCCGGTAGCAGCAGTCTCCATGGGTCCAGCTCCGGATTGGGACTGGAACATGGCTCCCAGGTTTTGTAGCCAAAGGCGTCCCCCCTCAAAGTGCGAGACCCCAAGCACCAGCGCCCGTTGCGGCGCGTTTTGCCTGTCTACATGCAGTTCTGCTACATTATCCAAAGTGATAACTACCGTGGACCATGTGTGCGTCGGGCAGATGGAGCACAGCAGCGTGTTGATAAGCAGGATTGCCGACTGGTAAGGGGCAGTATTTCTATATAGTCCCACAAAGGAGTGGTGCCCATACGCCCCACAAGCGAACTGTCTTTGTCCGTCTCGCTGGTGGCGTCGTTGTACCAGTTCAAATGGCAGTACCGAAATGACATGTCTGACAGCATTCCAAAGCGAGCCTGTACCCATACGCAAATAATGAAATGCAACCTTCTCGGCCTCAGCGTCGGAGGCAGCCCCTTCTGTCAAGGGGTGTGGGAAAGCAGCTGAGATGCGTCCCGCAACTTGCTCCCCAAGCTCAACCGAGTAGGCCATCAATTGCTGGTATGCAGGTGTCGGCAAAATGTGTTTAGCCATATCAAGTATATCGTTGACCGCCGCGAGAGAAAGGCTGGGTGGCACTGACACTTCGCATCTTCTGGCAATGTTGCGTAGTGCATTCAGCAGTAGGGCCTCCTCCAGCTGATCATAGTACACATGCGGTGGCAGATCCAATTCCTCACACGTGGATTCCATGTGTCTTATCGGCTGATCAGTTTGAGCTGGCATCGGCAGGCTTCATGGTGGCATGCAACAGAGCCAATGGAAATGCAGAGAGCTTCGCACTAGCTGAGGCTCCTGCGTCGTGGAGGAAAGCACAATTTGGTCCCACGGCTGGTTTGGCTTGGACCAAAACTATTCTATACATGATGGATCGAAGCATTGTGGCACGAGCAGTCGTGCAAGAAACATTAACTGAGCGAGATGCAATGCGAGGTGTTTTATGAACCCCGTAGAGCACTGGTTGCGTCCCTAGCGCATCGGCAGGGAAACGGCTTGGGCCTTGCAGCTAGGCAGCCAAGGAGACATACGAGGGCCCGGGACGTATGCCCGAAAGCGACCCTCGTGCTACTGCCCGGTATCCGTAACAAGCCCAATCAAGTAGCAATTCTTGTCAATGTGGGCTGTGTCCCTTGGCTGCGCCAGTCTCGGTTTGCGCTTATCGTCGCAAATTCGGTACGACCATTCTGCCGTACAATCGGAAACCCTGGAGGACACACCATAGGCATCAGCATCACAGACCCCGAGTGCAGCCTGATAGTGTCCATGATCAACAAACGCTCCAGTATGGAAGATGCAGCTTACTACTCGATATGGCTTGTGGTGTACCTCCAACCCTTCGCCCCCTGTGAAAATCGGAAGGCTGATCAGCTCGCCAGGCCTGCACGACACGGAGGCAAGGTTTTTATTGGCCACTCTACCATAGGAGTATCGCTTAAGTTGCAGCCATATTGCAGTGGAGGCCGGGTAGAGTGCATGTCGCGTATGTTGCATTGCCCACGTATCTACTAAGGCCTGCAGGGTGCCAGCCGACACATCCAGGAGGATGGGCAGCATCAGTGGACCTGGGTCCACGACCACATGCGGCAGACTGAGTCTTGCCTGCCACTGTCCCACAAAAGCACTGGGCTGAGCAATCTGCATAAAGTGGCGCAGAAACACGCTTGCATCCTGTTGCCTGTGCAGGTTAGGCCAAGCACGCAGATACGGTCGCCAATGGAGACTGTCAATCAGAGACTTCCTACCCGAGGTATTGACCATGCGCAGTGCAGCCCTTCCGCTGCCATAGCAGGTTTCAGGCCTGCCGTGGGCCGTGCCCCGCCATGCCAAGGCTTGCGCGAAAGCATTAAGCATGGATCCAGGCAGTAGGGTGTGATGCGCATGATTCTGCAATGCAGTGCTGGGCCTGCCTATCCCGTCGGCTCGGACTGGTTCTGATCGCTGCTCTTCGCCGCCTGAGATGGCGCAGACCAGGTCGTCTCCCTCCGGGTCCAGTCGGTGTAGGAGACGTTGAGGTAGGCGTCTTCCAGAAGTTTCATCATCGGTTGCTTCTGGCCGCGTTCCGGTCGGAGCCGGATTCCCGCCAGCTTCATGCAGGCGTTGCCGCTCAGGGCCACGAGTGCTTTGTAGCACCGGTCCGCGTGATCCGACCGCAGGGACAAAGAAAGAAGAAATGGTACCACTTCGCCTTTGGGGTCTTTGGTGAGTGGCCGTGTGGATCTGAATCGCATCAGCACGCCTGGGATAGCAGCCATCTCCTTCAGAGTGCGGAGATGTTCGAGGGCCGTCATGTGCGGAAGCGGTTGCTCGGCGCTGGTCTCTGAACACTGCTTGTCTGGATTCCAGCGGTGGTACAGGTAGACAGGGTTCAGGGCCGTTTGGCCTTCTCCCATCCATCCCACCCGAAAGCAGCGATTCAGTTGGTCCTCGTCCTGTATGGCCGCTTGCATCCGAGTCTCCAGCTCCTCGATCATGGCGAGGAAGAGCATCACGTGGAGACTGATAGTGACCTTCTTCTCCACGAATTTCTCCTGCCACCGATCCGCCGTGGCTTTCAGCAGGCCGATGATGCCTTCCTTCTGAGAGTCCACGAACAGCATGAAGCTGGTATCCACGCGGATGCGTGACATTTCCTCTTCGTGGCGGCTTACCACTTTCACCAACATTCGCAGCAGCTGCTGCGTCGCCTCGTCCGGCTCCGCGGTTGCCGTGGCCATATCCTTGGAGTTCCAGCTCGGCTGGTTCCACCATTTCTGCGACTGGCCCTGGCTCGGCTTCCCCGTCTGCCCCGGTTCCTTGTCCTGCCAGCCCTTCCCCTGGTGGCCCTTGTGGGAGGGGCGCTGGAACTTCTGCTTCGGCTCCTCCGTATCCTTCTCTGCCTCTGCCGGTAGGCTCCTGACCTCTCCCAAGACTTCCCGAAGTTGGTTCTGGGCTTCGCGAGCGTGGTCCAGGTCCATGTCCGTCATGGCGAATGAGGTCCTTCCGAACAAGGATTTCAGCAAGCGAAGCTTGAAACAACGCACTGCATCTTGGAATGTGTGTCCGGACGTCCTTAACGGGGAGGTCGCAGTAGGCACAAGGAGAGACTAACTTTAGTCCTAAGCCCGTGCAGCGATCCGCAGCTGCAGCCTTATGAGCCCATGCATTTGCGTTGGAGAGTCTGATATGCTGCTTACAACCAGGACCAATCATGGACACCCACTGGTGGCAGATGACGCAGTGTGTTCGCAGGCTCTTGCAGAAACGCGCGGCGTACGCAGGACCTGTTTCCAGCCGCTGCTGAGTGTTTGCTGAAAAGCAGTGTCTTGAATTAGCGGTACATTGGATTCCACTGTATCATGTGCATGCGAGGCCCGGCACGAATGACCAAGCGGCCCCGCTCCCCCCTCTGGCACCTCACCAGCGGGGAGTGTGGGTTGCACTGAATCCAGTCCGCGCATTGCCGGACAGCCACTTTTGATATGCTTGCGGAAACCCTCCATTCTTGTGAAGCTACGGAGACAGTGCTTACAGTGTGGCATGCCGTCAATCATGTGGCTGCGCCATTGTGCATGAACGGCCTGCGAAGCAACGGTAACGACCCCATGTTTGCGCGTGCAGTGCTGTTTGACCTGCTGCTTGGTAGCGAAGTACTGTCCACAAATGTCACATGCCACCTGTTTGGACGGGTCGATCACTTGCAGGGTCTGCGTCTGCATCGTGCTTTGGTCCGTTCGAAGTACAGCCTGCTGCCTAGTAAACCAGGTCATGCTAGCAGTATCCGTGCACTTGCTACATCTACCCGTAAGGAGTTTATCCAGCACTTCGGTTACTGAGCGCAGATGCAGTCTGGCACGGAGATCGACCGTAGGCTCGTGCCACAGTTGTGCCGGACTCTTTGCTAGCGCCCTTAGGTTCCTGGCATCAGAGGACTCGAGCTTACGTAACACAGCATGCGTGATACCAACTGCATGTTGCCCGAACAGCATGGAGCTACGTACGCAGGCTTGGTAAAGCAAAGTGCGGTGTCGCAGTCGGAGTTGGGAGCTATGCAACACTTTGAGAATGCGGTGCCTGACTTTGGCGCTAGCTCGGAGGCGGCTTTGGCAGGTTTGCATCTCGAAATTGCCAAACGAGGCTTCAACCCCTAGGTACGTGAAACAATGGACCTTGGGAAAGATGAGTCGGGCACCTGGGGTACCAAGGTCAATAGCCGGGCCATCGGGACGTTTAACAAGGTGCACCTTAAGCCACTTCTTAGCCTGGGATCCTTGAGCCTTGAACAACAACTTGGATTTGGCTGCATTCACCGTCATTCCAGCATCCACCAGCAGAGAGAAAATAGCCCTTACGCAGCGACCAAGGAAGTCAAGGTCGCTCGTGGTGGTCAGCAGCCACTGCAGCAAGAAATCATCAGCATACAGCGTCACGAATTCATCGGCCCATTCCTTACCAACCCGTTCACACAGCTGATCGTACAACCACCCTGTGAAAACAGCAAAAATCAAGGGTGACAGTGTGCACCCCTGTCTTATTCCACGCTGCATCGGAAAGGTGGCCTGCTGTGATCCGAGGCTGATGTGGTACTTGCATTGCATGTGGATATCAAGTATCAGATTGATAAGGGTTTCGGGTACCTGGGCGCTGCGTAGCGATGCCGTGAGCGCCCAGCGAGGCACTACATCGAACGCGCGGCTAAGATCAATGGACAAGGCTGCTCCGCCATTGCATTGTGTGGGAATTCGGCCCGCACGACTGTCGTGCACCGTGCGCACGCCTGCTTTAAGCTGATTGCGGATTCTGTCATTACAACTGAAAACCCTGCACAGCGCTTCGTCCAAAGACCTACCAGCGATATAGGCAAACTGCGGTTTCTGCTGTAGCCAAGGGGTGACTATTTCGGCCAGGCGGCCTTTTAGCAGGGAGGCTAGAACCTTACTGGAAGGACACTGTAACCCTAGGGGCCTAAGGTCGCTGGGTTGGCGCTGGGGTTTGTTGGGTTTAGGGAGGAGTGCTAAAACGCAGTCGGTCATGCTGCTCGGAAGAGCCTTTCGCTGTCGGTGTTCTTGGAACTCCTGAAGAAAAAACGCGGCGAAAGCCGCTGGGCAGGTCTGCCACACCTCTGCTACTACACAGCCTACTGGAACCGCCTTACGAGGCCTAAGGGATTTAATGACTTCTTCAACCTCCTGGAGACTAAACCCGGGGTCAGCATTAGTGGGGATGTAGTCCGGCAGGGGCAGATCTGCGAATGCAGTTTCGAAGTACGTGCTCACTGCATGCATCTGTTGTGCGCTGGTGAGAAGTTGTCCCTGAGGTCCTCGTATTCTGACTGGTTCGTGTCGTCTTTGGGGGGCAATAGACTGAACAACCGCATACACTGCTTGATGGTCGCCTCTCTCGGCAGCCTGATGGGCCTCCTGAATTATATCTTCTAACCAGCGTCTGCGTGCAGTGCGGCTGCTCGTACGGAGTGCACGCCAGGACTTTTGGAAATCTCTGTATAGCCTCCAAGCCTCGAAGATGCAACTAAGCCTACTCCTAGGTCCAGCGCGGCGTACAGAGCGCATAGCACGGTGTGCTTGCCACATGGCACGAATGCTAGCCACCACCTCCGGTGTTTCACCTGGCTTAGTTTTCCTCTGGGATCTAGACGGGAAATGTTGACTACACAAAGTCTGGAGGTCCTTGTTAAGAATAGCAAGGGACTTATGACCTGTAGCTTCCTCCACCGTGTGTCGGACCTCATGCACAAAGGCTTGCGCTGCGGGTGTTTGGGCTTTGAGGGCCTGTTGGAGGGAAGATTTGTCGTACCGGGTCTGCTTGGGTTTGTGTCTACTAAGCCACCATCCCGCAGCCAAGGGTACACTAGCAATCACAGGTTTGTGCTTGGAGCCATGTCGCCAAGGTGCAAGGTCCAGTGCTATGGGCTTAGCCTTTCTTGCACACGGGTCAGCAGCTGGCAGCCTGGTTAGCACAAAGTCCAGTTGTGATCTTTGCTCTCCGTTATGATAGGTGGCACTATAGACGGAACGGGAGCGGCCCCAGCTGTTGAGGGCGCACAGCCTATGCGCTTCGAGAAAAGCAATCATCTCAGTATCACTACTGGCACTTGTCGCAAGAACCCCTCGGCCAACCAGTTGCCTGTGCGGGCCCAAGCTCGAATTGAAATCCCCGGCAACTATGAGAAGATTCCGCGCCGGCACACTGGCAACTGCGCGACCAAGCACTGTCCAGACATGCGCACGCAATGCGTCTCTGTTAGCATGTTTGTCAATACGTACCCATTGGTAGACACTGAAAAGGTCAACACAAACATCTCCTAATTCGAGCCTAACTTGGAGAATCCTGCCATGGGCCCAAGCACAAAAAGTTACTTGTTCAGGCAAGGCAACTTTGTGAGAAATAAGGATAGCCACCCCACTGTATCGATGCGCCTCGTCCGGGGAGACAACGAACGACCAGCCAGGGATTGCCACTGGGATTGCCCACGTGCCCTCTTGCTTTCCCAAACCCCAATGAACCTCCTGCAGAAAGATAAGGTCAGTGGTTGTCTGAGCTTTGAGCCAGTGGCATAGAGTGTCATACAGTTCTGCAGTAACTCCTCCAATGTTGTACGTGGCTACTCGGAGTCGGCGCTGGGTCTTCTGCTCAAATCTGCGCTCATCCCGCGCATGTACTGTTTCGCCCATCGAAGACCCGCTGGCCAGCATGTTGCTTCTATGTCCACCCATCAGCTGGTGGCAAGTCCACCATTTGCCACGAAAAATGGTGCCTCCATGTTCTTGTGCCCTCCGGCATGCTCTGCCGTATGCACGCTTTCTCGCTCTTGTGAGTGCACTCGGTGTAGAATCCTCACCAAGAAATTTTGTCCGTGCTTGGACTCCCGGACACGCCTTGGACGCGTGCCCAACCCTCGGGTCTGCAGTCGCCTTAGTATATTCAGTGTTCTGCGGTTCTGGAGACTGCTGCAGGACTTGGGACCTGCACGGCTGGCTGTTGTCGATCGTAATTCCAGCTTGCATGATTCGCACTATCACCAAAGTCAGAAGTGCGATCCGCCCCATGTTGTGAAAAGGAGCTACCTGCAAGCTAAGCTCCAGCCGAGACCCTTAGTAGTAGTAGTAGTAGTAGTAGTAGGAGCAGGAGGACCAGGAGGAGCAGGAGGAGCAGGAGGAGCAGGAGGAGCAGGAGGAGCAGGAGGAGCAGAAGGAGCAGAAGGAGCAGGAGGATAAGTAGCTGGGAGCAGCAGTGGGAGTCGCAGTAGCCCCAGTCGCAGTAGTCGCCGTCACAGCGGCAGCAGTAGCAGTGGCAGCCTTGCAACAAGAAGTAAAGGTGCCTGGGACACCACCACAGACATGGCTTCTTGCGGCGTGTCGTGAGCTTGGCAGGCGGCGTGCACCAGCTCCTCACAAGTCCGAAAAGAAGTTAAGCTGGAAATCCAGATTTCAACTCACGGCAGTCCGTGGCCAGGTCCAGTTCTGAAGTCCCGGCAGATGTATGACCTGCCCATGTTTCTGCAGCGAAAGAGTGAGCAGCTGGTCCAGCACGGCTTACACACAGCTTCCTGCGCAGACAGAGGGGGATTCAAACAAAGACGCGCCTGAAGCTCCACTCCGAGGGGTATCCTGCACCGTGGACACTCTTCTCGCTGGAAGCAACACTCTCACCAGGCTAGGCTCAGCCTCCTCTGCAGGAGGCGAAGGCTCGGTGGCCACAAGTGCCTGCATTTCCTGCATCTCCTCCTGCAATGCAGCTAGCGCAGCTTAGCAGGAAATATCTTCACACGAGCTAGTACTCGCTCACTTCTCCGAGTGCCTGCTCCGGAGCCAGCGTGGCCACCTAAGAGTTGTCGTCCGGGACCCGAAGACTTGCGTTGCGCTTGCCGAGGAATGAAAGCAATGCACTTGCTACAGCAGCCGCGCCTCCGTTGCGACATCGCCGTCCTTTGCAGGGATCTCTAGACCCGCCGTCAGTGAAGCCGCCAACACGTCCATCTCTTGATGCCTCAGCTTTGAGGCGGAGAAGCCAATCTCGGGGCTGTTGCGCTGGACGGACGTCTCCCTCTGGTGGCCTAGGCCTGCAGACGAGCTGCAGCTCGTCTTTCGTCTTGGGCCACTGCTCTGGCGCGACAGTTGCCTTCGAAGACCAGACCGACACTCAGAGTCATCGAAGCCATGACCGACCCCAGACTGCTGCAAGAACCGACACTTTCGAGGGTGATGCCTCGGAAGGCGGGTCTGAAGATGGCCCCGAGGCCTCTGCCTCTGTTCAGATGACTTGTTCAGGTGCCAGCACTTCAGGAATCTGAAGTCTCTATGGCAGGAGGCATTGAAGGTTCTTGAGGGTTACGCTTCGGGGCGCAGGGCATCAAGAGCTTCAGGGCTTGGGGTTTCACAAATACGATAAATAAAGTCTACACATGCTCACATTCATAGCAAAGCTTGCATCTGCATATTAACACGTAGAACTCACTTGGTGATGCACTCCAATGTGACATCAAACTGAACCAAGAAAGACATCGGCTGTGTTGCAGATCAACTGCCCGAACCTCTGAGGAGGAACTGGCTGCAGTCCAAGATTGACGTTGTGACTGTTATGTTTCAATCCATCCCGACTACTTCCCCTCCAGCACGTGACACTATCTCTCTCTCTCTCCCTCTTGGCTCTTCGGACATGTTTGCGTAAAGAAGACTGGGAAGCGATACCTCACTTACTGAATCAGAGACTCTGGTGATTTCAGAACCTGCGCTGACTGAGCAAATTCATGCAGATTCCATACAAGGCTGAAACCTCAGCTGCCGCCACTGGCATGTCCTGAATCCCACTGCGGATTTGATTTACTTGGAGGATCAGGGGACAGGCAGGGCAAGATTGTAAGCTATAACTACCTTACCTGGAGACACTAGAAATTACAAATATAGTTATGGTAGGTCTTAGGTTTAGCCTAAATTGCGAAGTGCACTTATCCTGCCAGCACCGAGGATATTTGCGAAAACTTGGGTGCGATGACTTATAGAGCGCTGAATCCAAACACTGATGTTGGGGCCTTCTCATGCATGTCATAGCTTGCGGAACGAAACTCACGAAACTGCGAGCAGAGTTGTCGGACAGCGCAGTCTTTGCTGCCAGGGATCGAAGACGGGTGGTTCGAGCAAGACAATGCTCTTCCGAGTCACTGAATCCGTGACGCAGATGGTGAAGGTAGCCTGTTCTGCCTTGGAATCGCTGAGCTTAACAAAATCTGCTTTACACCTGAAGCGGCTGACAGCTCTCGAGACCAGCACACATGACTTGAGCTTGACATCTTTAATTCCAAAAGTACCATGACATCGACCCCCCAAGAACTTTCGCCTGAGGCTTCCAAAAACAGCGTCCTACGAGTCCAAAACGTGTTCCACGCGGTTGGGAATACAATTCACAAACTTCGAAACACTTCTGAACCGGCGGAATTCGAGAGGCCGAAGAGTGACTGGGATTGGGATTAGGATTGGGAGCGCGAGATGGACACGGAAGTAGTGGAATTTTCAAAATGTCCGGCGTCCCCGGTATACGCGGACACGAGAGGACATGGAAATGCCGCGATTTGTCGGAAACTGGACATGTTTGCACCTGCCAAAGCAGTAGCCACAGGACCGCTGGCGAACACTATCCTGGTCGTCCTTAACACAAAAGCCCATTTTCCCTGTTGCCACAGTTCTTGGAGAAAAAGACGGGACCGTCAGGTTGCAAGATCGTCTGCAGCAGGATCATGTTCGTCTTCTTCCTCCTCCTGTGCCATCACGACATGCTGCAAGAGGTCTCGATGGAGGCTGCAAAAGCATATTGTGAGATCATGCCTTGCTAAGCTCCGGATAAACCCTGACTAGGCGCAGCTGCTCCGGTGGACTGTGCAAAATTCATTCCGCATAAGATCTTGCCTGCAGCTCCGCAAGTAAGGCGTCGAAGCCGTTTGGGGTCGTTTCTTCTCCAGCCTGCCCCGGGCGACTTGAAAAAAACTTGCAGGGTTGTGGTGCCGCAATCAAGGCTGTGGAAAATCGGCTGACTGCGCTTTGAAAAGGAGGACGACGAATTCTAAGCAGAGATTACAGGGCGGTGGCCTCCATTCTCGACTCGATGAGAAAGATATTTACGAAAACCTTTACCGTAGAGTCCTGCGGCAAGAGTTATCCCCTGAGAGGAAGGGCGCCATTTATCAAACAAAGAGGTCGGGCAACTCGGACGAATGCTCGTTGAAAGGATGTCGATGTCTCGTGCTTCTGCCTACGTTCTGAAACAGCATCGTTCACTCGACTGCACTCAGTGACTCGTTGCATTACTGCCGCGCTGCCTCCGGCTCAGCCGTCTGCGAGACATCTAAGCCGTTCTCCGCCTTTTCTTCTCTGATGCTTTCGCTGGCTTCAAAAGCTCTGGATGCGGGGTCGCTTCCGGTTTCAATGCGGCCCGACTTCCGCAACGCCCCTCAAATTCTCTCCTTCCCAAGTGCCAAACGACTCGTTGCATTTCTGTCCCGCTGCCTCCGGCTCCGCCGGGTGCGAGACGTCTAAGCCGTTCTCAGCCTTTTCTTCTCTGATGCTTTCTCTGGCCTGTTACCGCATGTGCATCGTAGGTTCATGAAGCTCTGTAGATTCCTTTCTCGTGGAATGCAGATGCAGCCTCACATAACAACTTCCCATGCAAAGCGACTCATCGTTGTATTTCTGTCGCGCTGCCTGCGGCTCCGCCGCTCCCTCCGGCTCCGCTGCGGGCGCGACGGCTAAGCCGTTCTCAACCTTGTCCTCTCTGCCGTGTTCTCTGACCTGTCCATGCAGATTCATTTCAGATTCTTGTCGCTTTTTGCTTTATAAACTCGCGGTGGCATGCGGCCCAACTTGACAAAGCAACTGCCGAAACGACGCTGTGCAAGATGTAGCAGCCCCACTTCTCTCCAAAGCGACGCGTTGCAGTACTGCCGTGCTGCCTCCGGCTCAGCCGTCTGCGAGACATCCAAGCCGTTCTCAGCTTGTTCTGCTCCGATGCTTTCTCTGGCCTGTTAGCCCATGTGCATCTTAGGTTGACAAAGCTCTATGCATTCGTGGCCATGGCATGCTGCTAGGGTCACTTGACAGAACAATCTCTGAAATCACGCCGCTGCGTAGCCACCCGCACAACTTCCCTCCTTCTCATGTGCTAAGCGACTCGTTGCATTTCCGTCCCGCTGCCTCCGGCTCCGCCGCGTGCGAGACGTCTAAGCCGTTCTCAGCCTTTTCTTCTCTGATGCTTTCTCTGGCCTGTTGTCGCATGTGCATCTTAGGCTAACAAGGCTGCGTAGATTCGTGGCCATGGCATGCACAGGTAGGGTCACTTGACGAAGAAATCTCTGAAATCACGCCGCTGCAACATGTACCCGCCCGCACAACTTCCCTCCTTCTCATGTGACGAACGACTCGTTGCATTCCTGTCGCGCTGCCTCCGGCTCAGCCGTGTGCGAGACGCCCAAGCCGTTTTCAGCCGTGTCTTCTCTGAGACTCCCTCTGACCTGCAGCTTCTTGTGGCTTGCACCGTGGGATGCTTCTTAGCTGCATCCCCCTTCCTGGAGTTCAATAAGGGGTAGCTTAGTAATTTGAGCGCCCCTTCTTCAGCGAGTCACGGGCGACATGTGCTGCCTGTTACGACCCTCCTGATCAAGACAAGCAAGACAGAGACAAAACACAAATCTGAGGACCACACCTCAGAGGCGACCACCGACCTGAGCCATCTTCACCAGAAGGCAGCAGAAGAGTTTCTCAGTCACACGTCTAGGAGTCTACCCTCAACATTCCTCTTTACCGTTACCTGGCCTGGCAGTGGAGGGCTCGCTGGGGACTGCAGACCGTGCCAGGAGCTCCGTGGCAATGTATTGCCTGCAGAAAGCATCAGAAAGCAGAATTAGAGAAGATGCACATGACTTCCATCACTTCGATGTATCCCCACTTGAGCTGCACAGTTTTGTCCCAACTCCAGGGGGCCATGCGGCTCCAGAGGCGCCCACCCGACCAGCTTCGAGGACTTTGAGGAGCCACGGGAGCTCGACTCTGAGAGGTCCTGAGAAAAAAAACGAGGGGGCTTCTTCCTGAGAGGATCTGCTTGTCGCTGCTTGGAGGTTCATGGGTAGCTATAAGTAGGGTCACTATGGTTACAACCCATATTAGGGGGCTTATAACCCCACGTATAACTACCCATGAACCTCCCTCCAAGTAGAGATACTGCGGAGAAGCCGTCAGCTCCTGGCAGACCCCAAGTGGCAGAAAGCTCGTTGGTCCTCGTCCATGTTCCCCTCCAATGCCACGGCGACCACAGCTACAGAACCCACAGTAGAGCCGAACTCCTGATTCGAAGCTTCGTGGCTGCTGAACCCCCAAAAGCAAAGCAATCGTGGCGAGACCCGTCCTTGGAGAACATCTCCGCGGCTAAGGAACTGCTGCAATCAGAGATCACCTGCCACTGGAAGGGATCGATTCCGAGAAAATGGTCGCAGTTGCTCAGCAGCCAGGCTGGGGCTGCTACGACATACCTACACAGCTGAGAAAGCCTGGACAAGACCACGGCAGTGGTTAGATCTTGCAGAAGCATGGCAGGGTTGCCACAGACATGTCTGGCGTGGACGGGACCTGCAACCAATCACCGAATCCCAATTTGTAGCAAAAACTGTCTCTAGCGTCCTCTGGCTGTGTCTTCCGGTCTGCGCCAGCTTGACAGCGGGTTCCGCAGAGTCTGTGACAAAAGACTGTTTCTGAATAAGACCTTTACAAGTCGGGGCATTCCTGTGCTTCAGACAGGCAAGCCTCGTTGAGGAATTTGGGCGTCAGCCCATCTGTACATGCTCAAGAGCCTCTGTTGCTTGGGCTCGTCGCGGCCCTGTCGCCCTTTGACTCGGTTCCCTCTTTGAGCTCCTGCTTGAAGCGGAGGCATCCCGAGAGTCTCACCATGAGGAGCATCACCGGAATCTCGATGAGCGGGCCCAAGACGGTGGCGATGGCCTGGTTGGAGCTCGTGCCGAAGATCGCCGTGCAACTTGCGAGCGCCAGCTCGAAGTTGTTGCTGGCGCCTGTGAAGGCCAGGGTCACCGTCTCAGCGAAGCCCAGCTTCAAAAGCCTGGAAGAAGCCCAGGACAAGGCAAACATCACGCTGAAGTACAGCAAAAGCGGGATGACTGCGAACAGCACGTCCACTATGCTCACCTCATCTTCACATGCTTCTCACACGGTCTCAAACTGATGCAGTTCTGCACCAGCAAGAACATGATCACCAGACTACCAGACGAAAAGATATGATGACCGGACGTTGTACACTGGGCAGACAGACAGACAGCAGCCGACAAGATCACAAGCTGAGTGTTGCCTGTCCATTGAGAAGCGGCTTGGCCATCTCGCAGAACATCAAAAAGACGACCACGAGCAAGGAAACGAGGCCGACTGGAGCGAATCGCGGCAAGAATCGCTTCCAGTACCATTCCCTTCCGCGGCCTAAGCACCACATGAAGACCCCGATGGCCAGGGGTATACCCAAGTAGATGGCCACGTTGATGAAGACAGTCATGAAACTCACGTTCCCCTTGATGTCAATGCCAGCAGCTTGTCCCACCGCTGCCAGCAACGTAACAATGGGCGCATAGCCTACGATTGTGATTAGGGAGTTCAGGAGGACCAACGAGACGCAGAGAAAGCTGTCGCCGTTGGCCAAAGACGTCCAAACCAGCACCATGGCGATGCATCTCGCAGCGCCGATGAACACAACTCCTTGCAGCAGGTCCGGGTGTTCCGAGAGAGTGAGCATGCCGAGGCCTAACATCAAGAAAGGACCCACAATCCAGTTCATTACCAAACTCAGAACTGCAATGCGCTTCGGAATCCGGCGCACGGCCGACGTAAACTCGTTGTACTTCACGGCTGCAAAGGGAGGCAGCAGCATGGCGATCATCCCAATGGCCGACAGCAAGTTTGTGTTCCCGACTTTCATAGCCTCGATCTTCTCGTCCAGGCTTGTGTAGTAGCCCAGCAGGACACCGGCACCAGCGGCAAGGAGGATCCAAACAGTCAGGAACCTCTCCAAACCCAGCTTGGCCTTCGGCTGCTGCCGAAGCACTGCTTCGGGACAGCAGAGCAACTCCTCCCCCAGCATCACTCGAGGGCAGACGCATACCTCAGACGTGCCTTTGAGGTCAATTTCAAGGGCTTCCAACTTCGTCTCTGATTTTTGGGGCAGGCAGCGACCAGCAATGCATAGGCTGGATGTCTCGGGATTCACGTTCAGGGCCTGCTGAACCTCCTCGACGGTCAGCCCTGCAAGCAGGCCAAGTGACTCCATGGTGCCCCGAGCGCAGTCCTGCGCGCAGTCTGCATCACGCGTCTCAGTCTTGGGTGCCGCCATGCCGCTTCGCAGAGGACTAAGCTATCCACACTGACCCTTTATTTGCAACTACTTGAGGCTGACAAGACTGTGTCTGACGATCCACTCTGCGCATCTGCAAAGATAGGGACAATGGCGAATGCTCCGCTTTTCCCAGGCGTCGCGCTCCCTTTCCAGCCAGTCCGAAAAAGCAGCGCCACAAGGTGCTGTAACAGTCAGTCCGCTTCAGACTGGGGCGTGCACTGCAAAGGACGTACAGCATCTGTACAGCAGGCTGCAAACCGCACACGACATCAGACGATCGGAAGAGTCTGCCGGAAGTGCGAAAAGATATCTTAGACTTTGTCCTTGAAGAGAAACGCACCTGAATTACTGCGTCTCTGGGACCAGCAGGCGCTCAAGGAAAAGCTTGTTCAGAGTTGGAGGAAGGTCCTCATCTGAAAGGCCTGCCACACCTGAAAAGAAGACTTGCAAGTGCAACTTGCAGGCAATCCACGAAAAATGTGGAGTTGCTCGCACCCTTGTGTTCGGTGCGGGATGGGATCGTAAAGTTTCGGCTGATTTGGCCCATGAATTGCTGCCTGCGCCATGGTCGAGGAGCAGACGACAGACCTGCAAGATTGTAGAATCGATAGTCGATAGTTGAATGATGACTTTGACTTTGCTGAAGCTCAAATCAGTTTCAGCTCAGGTTGTTCCCTGGCCCATCTGACCCCAAATGGCCTCTTCCTGCTTCGCCTCTGCAGCCAGAACCAGCGGCGTGCGGTCGTCCAAGTCCAAGGCCTAGCTGTTAATCCCCGATTAGACGCAGCCTTTCTTGCGGTTCCGATTCGGACTCTTTTGACTGGAGGAGGTGCATTAATCAGCTATCTACAATGAATGACAACAAAGTACCGCACCGCATATTGCTTCATCTTACGTCTTACTTCATGGATATCAAGATATCGTGTCATGGTGGTGGTGGTGATGATGATGATGACGATGTCTTCAGGTGTCTTCAGTGTTTAGGCCCGTATTTGTTCAATTTCTCGGAGTCACTCCACAAGGCAACACTTCTCGGACGCTGGGGAAGAAGGATAACTTGTATACCGTTGTGATGGGGGCCAGACAAAAAGGAATGATTCTCGTATCAGATTTGAGGGGATACGGACTCTCTGTGGACTTACAATTAGGCTTCACGAGGCCGACAACACCTCCGTCCAGGACCTCTTGGGCCCGTTTTTGGTTGCACTCTCCTGTTGCGCTCACCGCCGCTCACAATGATAGTCAGCATGTCGTCCCTTTGAATTGCCCGGCCCTACAACCACAAACTACAACACGTCGCAATTCAATTCCTGATCTTGGCACGTATGAGTATGAGAACAGGTCGACAATGCTGGAGGATGGGAGTGACGGTGTAAACGCTGACAGTCAGAATCACGGCGATGACAGCAGATGACAGCAGCGAAGCTGATGGACTCCTGGTACCTGGAAATGTTTGATCTGCCTCGGAGTTGGCACCAGCTGCCAGAAAGCGCGTGACACAGTCTGCATGGCCTGAGCGAGAGTCAGAACCCAATTCGGTCCACGGTTTAGGTTCCGCGTCTGCAACAAGAGCCTAGCATGGAGGGAGGCAGGGCGGCCTTTACGGGCAGCAATGTGGAGCGGGGTCTCCTCCCAGGCCTTCACCGGGGCTTCAGGGCCAGGCTGAGAGGCTGAGCATCGCTGAGCGCTGTGTGCTGCCCGGCCTCCTTGGCCTCGATGTCGAGGCCATGTTTCAGGAGCCTCTCCACCTCAAGGCTCGGCGGGGAAGGCCAGCTTTTTTGCCCTTCTTGGACTGAGAAGGACTCCCCCCGCCTCTGTCACGTTGCCCTCGTCGGCAGCTCGGTGCAGTGCGGTGCAGCCGAATTCGTCCACGATCAGGTCCGAAGCCGAAGCCGCTTCCGGAACGGAGGAGGTCGGAGCCTCGCAGCAGAGAACTTGGCCACGGCCAGGGATTCCTTGAAACTTTCGTTAGTTCGTTCTTGGGTACTGCGACACCCGTTCCAGCCTTGTCCTCCGACTTCCTCGAGCGAAGCTGCACGGAAGCAAGGAAGGCGGCGAGGAACGCCACAACGAGAGCGGGGACGTCCAAGAATGTTTCCACCTCAGTCGACTCCCGCCCCCCAGAAATTCCTCCGCCATGCAAACCGAGGACAGCACCAGGTTGCGGAGTTCGCAAGGCGCGCTCTTCTCTGCGGCATCCTGGGGAAGTGCTCCAACTTCGCAGGCACCGGCGTTGGCACACCAGGCTCAACAGGTCATGAAACCAAAGATCTCCATCTTGGTTCATGCATCCCAAAAGAAATTTGAGTCGAGGCACGGCAATCGTCTCGCCCTCAAAAGTCAATTCACAGTCCTCCCAGGCCGCACTGCTCCGTCAAACGGACTGATCGATGACTTGACATTGCTTGACATCTCAAGTCAGAGACGCGCGCGCCTGCGAGCATTGCTCCACTTCTCCATCTGGGCCTGCGCCTGAGCCAACGTCTTCGGAGGCTTTTTCCACAGGGGCACAGCAACTTCTCGCACGCCTGTCTCACTCAAGAGAAGGGATTCCAGCTCTTCGCCTCAGGCGCCGATCGCTTCTCGCCGGAACATAGACTTATGTAAACCTCAGAACACCACCCAGCCTTCAAAGTGGCCGCTGTCCACAAATTTAGTGTGCATCGGCACGACATGTCCTGTCAAGACTGAAAAAGGCTTCCAAGACAAGACGATGCCTCGCGAGTTTCTGAGGATATGCAACTCTCCTGTCTGTATGAGAGCAGTGGTCTTCGATGTCGCCGAAATTTCGGAACTCGCACAGCCTGCGATGATGATGATGATGATGACGATGATGATGATGAAGTCGAAAGGCACACATGGAATTGAGCATCGATGCAGCCAGGCTACTTCCTGGCCATACCAGCACCAGAAGCATCGGGATCAACGTCGGCATCATGGTCTTGGGACAGTCGGTCGTAGTAGGTCACAGACACCTTGACAAGAGCAGACCGGCTTTGCATCACCTCATGGTTGCAAAGGCTACTTCGAAAAAAATGCAGCTTAGAAACGAAGTCCCTCAGCAAAGGTCCGTTGTCGGATATGGCGGAAGACCCACACAGGGCTCGAATAAGGTGACGAAGCTTGAGCAAGCGTACGCGATGCGCGCAGCAAAGCCAGGATTCACCCACATCCAGCTGCACAGTGAGCACACGACATGGACTACAGTTCGATAGTGGGACCCATAAGTAGAAAGCAGACTTGCACTTGCAGCTTGGGCCCACCTCTTGCTCCTGCAGGGCTTCAAGTCCTGTGCCAAGCGACGCACAGCCATCCTCCCGGCTCTGGCCCATACTTACCTTTGGTTAATAGGGAATGGAAGAATGGTAGTGATAGTAGTTATAAGTTATAATTGTACCCCATTCCCCATTCCCTACTAACTAGAGGTAAGCCTAGATCTCAAAAACTCTCAAATAGACGTACTCAGTTCTGAAGCAAACTTAGCTAGCGAGGGCTGGGGCAAAGCCCACCATATTCCCACTTCACCCCAAGTAACGATACCTAAGAGGCTTCTTTGCTCCTACACCGCACGCCCTGTAGGAGATGAAGAAACTGCAACGGGAGCGTACTATTGTTGCTTCTCTCTGCAAATGATGCCTGCTTGCAGCATCCGGGTTGCGAAAATGCTTCAGTTTTTCAGCACTCCTGGTATTCAAAGCCACAAGCACAGCTCGTGGTGGAAGCCCGTTCTGGATTCTGCATGATTGTTCTCTTGTCAGTCCCTCAACTTAAGCAACTCTGAACGCCGAGGAGACAAAGCGTATGTCGTATTTTTCTCGGTCCTGACATCTCCACCCTCGGTGAGGTTACAAAGCAGGACACTCCGACACTGACCCTGCAAGGGCTAGGTCCGCGCCAAACCGAGGAGCCAGCTGTGGGGATGGCGCGAAGGAGATAAGCCCTGAGGTCCTGAAGGCCGTCTCTTTTCCAGGCCGAGAGCTCTGCAAAAAAGCGGAGGATGCCGGATGTCCCGTCCTTGGCGTCTCTTCCAGGCTCAGAGCCTCTCCGGGCAGCGTCCGGGGCGGTGTGGAGCTCTCCGGGGACGCCAGAGCACCACCGGGCCTCAGAAAAACACCACGCTTGAGAAATAGAAAGATGCAGCAGAAGCTGCGCAGAAGGCCCTGAGGTTGCAGCTGCACACGCAGCTGCAGTTCGCTGAAGGACTCCTCCAGATCGCCTGTCGGCCAGGCCCTGGCAGCAGGAATCATGTCAGAGGCACAGACAGCGCCGACTTGCAAAATGCGTCCGCTGCACGAAGAGGCACTGTATGAGGACGTACCCGGCTCCATTGTGGAGACGGTGGCCTTTCCAAGCAAAGGAGCTAGGGCGGCGTGAGCATGGTCATCAAGCTGGAAGGGCACTCCCCGTCTCCGTTGCATTTTTCGTGCTCACCGCACTGCGAGGCCCAAAGGACGACGGCCTCAGGACTTCGAGCTGTCCCGAAGCGAGCTGTCCCGGCCCAGCCACATAAAGGTTTGTAGCAAAGAATTCAAAGGGCAGCTGGATGCTGCCATGACGGCACAGCCTCGACGACTTGCTTCGGTCGTCAGGCACCAGGGAAATCGTTGGGAAGACTTCCGACGCCCCTATCGGGCTATCGGCAATTGGGTGCTGGCTGCGCTCTGCTTGGCAGCTTACCGGCTGGTCAAGAAGCCAAGTCAACCATGAAAACTTGGGAAAACTGATTGCTTGACATCCTGCCTGTGCGAAACATGCACGGATATTTCGAAAGTGGTGCATGCTGAGAACTTCCGCGTCTTTCGGTGAATATGCTGCATGAGATCAAATCAGGGTCATGTCATCGGGTGAGGTGCGGCCTCGAGGGTGAGACGCCAGGCCTCAGGCGTCTACCTTCTCGTTTACCTGACAGGACGAAGCATTGGAAATGAGACGTATCCCCTCGTGCCGCAGAATGGACTGACTCCCTCATAATGCCGAGGGAAGGCCAGCCACGCGCTGAACTTGCTTTCGATCTGCTCATTCACCTTGGCCATGCCATCTCGGACCTCAGAACCCCCGTCGGCTCTGGAGCATCTCCGAGCTGGGGCCCCGCTTGGGCCCCGGCCACCTTGCCTGTCATCAGCTTGGCCGCCTTCTCGACGAAGGCATCTGGCAGCGGGAACCACCAGGGGAGGTTCATCCGTGACCGGGACCTCGAAGACTTCAAAGCTCCCAGGACCAGGAGACGCCAAAACTCAACTCTCCTCTGAGATGTGGGCCAGGCATGGTTCGTCAGATCGAGACCTTCGGAGAACTCGCCGGACGAAGATGCGCTTCTTTGAGGCAACGGCCGGTGCTGCGCCTCCTTGACTGTTCTCCACCCACTCGATGATGTTCTCGGACTCCATGTCCATCTGCCAACCGACACTGAAGCGCTGATCCGAAACTTCAAGAGGCTTCCATAATGAAGCCTTGTATTGGGGATCGAAGGTGACCTCGCCGGTCTTCTTGTCCACATTGCCTGAACAAATTGCCCCAAAGCGTCCATCTTCTCCGGTGGAGATGTAAAAGACCCCTCATTCATCCCCCATGTTTTCCGAACCCTGCCAGGCCTGGGTGCATATCCAGAATGTGCACGTTGCACTTTCCACCAGCCTCAGCAACCTCCACCTTGACCTGCAAGGAAGCGAACGACGAGGCCTTTCTCCAAGGAAAACTGGGCGAGACCCCCCTCGCGGCCTCCATCATGAGCTGCGAGCGATAGGGGCCGATGTCGTTCGGCCTCATGCAAGTCAAGTTTGCTACTTGATACTTGGCCCCACCCGCGCTTTGTTCCTCTTTTCGAAGCCTAAGGAAGTTTGAGCTTCCGGCTTCATGAAGCACTGCAAAATCTCCGGCTGGCCGGGCTTCGGCACAATCTTCTCAAGATTTTGCAGGCTCACCTGACTGGTGCGTATCAACCGAAAAAATTAATTTCACAACCACAAGAGCCTCTGCTGCATTCTCGCGCATGAATGCATCCTCGGCTGCCGATTGCAGCTCTCAGCAACAATCAATGCTTACGGTAGCCATCCGCCTTTCATAACCTAGCAGCCCAACACTCGTACGACTTGTGCATCCGCTCACTCGACACAAGGATACAGCCTAAGCTGCAAACTTACATCTGGCACCAAGGCAGTCAAGCTGCCATCGAGCTTGATGTTCCCTGAGTGAGGCTCTTTTTCAAAGTCACCTGAGGGACGGCAGCTCTCGTTCAATCCGTGCCTCTCGTGCTTTCGCAGGAAGATCCACACCGGCTGCAATGCAGAACACTGAATGACAACATGAGACATGTTCTCTGGACCCTGCCTCATGCCCAATGCAGATCTGACGTCCCGACTTTTGATCAGCCTTGTCCTGTGCAGGTGGCCGGCATGACGCAAAAGGAGATGTACTTCAGTACGTGATCCGCAAGAGGCACACTGCAGCGCCAGTCCGTCGCTCGTCGCTTGACCACTCCACGGCGTGCTGAGATGACTTTACCAGCTGCCACCAACGCGGCCGCTGGAGAAGCCCAGGCTGCGATGGACGTGTACGGGGCTGCTGGAACCGCTGGAACCTGCGAGGACGCTGTCAGCACAACGCGGCCCTGCGAACCACTGGGCGCCCTCCGATCCGCTTCCTCGCCTGACCGGCCTGTGGTCTCGCCGTGCGCACTTGCCTATGGCACACGGCGGCTGCGCGTTGCAGTAGCTTCGCTGCAGTGGGTTCCATGGAAGAAGGGGCGGGAAGAAGCAAAGCAATGCGGCCCGCGGCCTGTCCAAGACTCTCGCGGCCAACAGCGGCTGCAAGGCAGCCTGGGGATCCTCAGCTGGAAGCTGCGAGGGCTTTTGGAAGGAAGCAAAACGACAGCATCCGCTGATGATAGGGCAGTGCCAGAGTAATTTCAGTGTGGATGAGTACAGGATGGTACTGGGATCCCTGCACGAGGAAGGAAAGGGCGTGCTTGATTCGTCGCTTTCGTTGCTTTCTCTATCTGAAAGCTCGACTTCACCAAAAGTGGGCCAACTCTACCCGCACGGCCGCCACGCCACCCCTCCGGGGGGCTCGGATCTGTTTACGCGTCCACATACTGAGCAGTCCTGCCCACATCTCTTCTTCTTTCCTTCGCCAGGGCTAGGGTGAAGAGGTTTCCCCTCACATCTCTCCTCCCTTGACCAGTTGTTGATCTGACCTAGGACGCTATCTGGCTGCAGTCCAAGTGCCATGAGGCGAAGTCTTGGTAAAAAGATCACAAGAGCCGAGTCTGTAAATGGCTGCGGGAAAGTCATCTCAATCGTTGAGTCTTCAAGCTTTGATGGCTTCAGCCGTGAGCCGTGGAAGTTGATCTGCAGGTTCATCCGCAACCGAGAGCAACGGTACCACTAAGCGCAAGCATCTGCAAAACCGGCCTGGAAGGTCTTGTTCTCCTTGTGCAGATCAGCCTCCAGACCGCACAAAAAAAGTCCCAGGCATCGCGAAAGTCAAGACAACACTTCCTCCTCATCGAAGCTGAACTGCTCAACCTTAGCACACTCATGGTGAAGTTCTCTTTGTCTGGTTCTATGGTGGCTGGGCCCCCGTCAGACACTCCTTCAGGAAGTGTGTCCATGCTCAGCTTCTCGAGGGGTAACTAACGGCGGTGCTTTCTGTAGGGGTCGAGGACGGTCAGACTATGTGAGAGAAGAAAGGGGGTTGTGAACTGCACATGTAAGTGTCCGGTCCTGGGCTTGTTTTGGCTTCGGTTGATCGTCTCTGCCGTGTCGCCGTGCAATGTGGCTGCAAAGCAAAAGAGGGCCCAGCGATCCCTTCAGGGAGCCTGGATCCCCATCTTGGGCCGAGAAGGGCGCGCGAGGGCGCGAAGCGCAAGTCAGGCCCCCAAGGACAAGGCTGGGCTCCGCAAGCCATGGCAGTCTTCAGCACTCACCGGTACTTGAAGGATCAGGGGACTTAGTAAGTAGGGTTATAAATCCCCTACTACGGATTAAAACATATAACTGTTATAACTATAGTTATCCTACTTATAACCGTACTTAACTACCCATGAACCTCCAAGTAAGGTTTAGGGAAGCGAGGTCTGGGAGCGAAGGCATCACCTGCATCGGTTCACCTCCGAGCTCAAACTGGCGTCCACCGAAAGGGTTGTCCTCCAGGCACAGCAGCTACCTCCTCGGATCCGCATGCCAGTCAAGATGTCCTCGACTCGGAAACCGTAGCGGACAAGGAACCTCAAGCAGATGCAAGTACAGCTACCACAACAAGCACAGCCACGACAAGAATAGAGACTCGAGAGAAATAGCATAGAAAAGTATTGTCAGTGTGTCCTGTCGGTTGCCTTTACCTGTGGGACGAAAATCAATGTGCTGGTCCTGCCCAAACAGAAACTCTCTGCCTTTGCTGCTTGCGGCTTGCCGCCCCTTCGCTGCTAGTCGCTTTGTGTCCTTTCTGGAAGCCTGTTCCTGGCCTGACAGGTGAGAGCTGTCGAGATGCGCGAGGAAGGCCATAGGCTGTCAAGTTGTGTGGGAATGCATCCGAGGCGCTCTAAATTGGATGCCTGCGCGTAATCGATGCACAGCTCCTGCCGAAGATGCTTCAATGTCCGGATGGTCGTGCGGGGATCCCAACTTCAACTCCCGAGACACTGCATGCATTGGCTGAGTGCCACGCATCACCAGGCATCACGTCCTTGGTGGCGACGAACCGAAGCGCGTCCTCTCTCAAGGCTCTTTCACAGGAGCCAACTGACAACTGACTCGACCTCAACCCTCCCGATGCAAGGGGTACAGAAGGCGTCCTCTGCCAGGGTTGCAGTTCTAACGCTGGCAACCTAGGTGCAGGCGAGCTGTGCTGCTTCCTGCATGCTCACAAGCAAAGCAGCTGGGACGGTGACCATGTTATGATTGAGGAAGTCGGCCAGTGGTATCAGCATGGTGCTCTCCCGGGTGCCCTGCACAAACGAACAACAGCAAACTCGCACAAGTCCCGTCAGCAGGCGCTGCGCCTCAAACGCGAAACCGCGGGTTTTCACCACGCTGAGTGCCCAGCGTAAGTCCTCGGATTCGTCTCTCAGCCGAGCTCACTTGAGAGGAAAGCTTAGCTTCAATGCTTAGGATGCTCCTCCTTCGTGACCGGTCGTCCACGCCAAAGATTTGGATTCATCTGAGAATGCTCTCGAGTTCTCTTCACTCCATTCCAGAAGACCGGACTAGAAACTTCACGAGCCCCGCCTCTTTAGCGGCCCGACCCATGCAGTCGAGGTCCTCAAACCTCCGGCCAAGCTGCGCACGGAAGGTTTCCACTGTGCCACAAGCACATCCGGCTTTCGCTCGGAGAGCTTTCGTCTGGGACCCGCACCAATTCTGGACTATGTAGGAAAAGAAAGTCCTCTGCACCAGTGTCAACTGCCTGCCAGACGGCGAATTTTGGGTTGGAGGAGCTCGTTTCCACAACCCAGAGTTTGTCTGCGCGACGCTGGCTGCTGCGGAACAGCTATGAACAGCTCCAGCAATTGCAATGTCACGATAGGATAAAGACCAAGTCCGAACTGTAGCGGGAGGCCGAGGGGTCTTGCATCACCACATCGACTTGGCTTCCAGGCACGGGAGACACACGGACCCGCAATCCACTGCCTGAAATCATTGATAGCACCCTTTGGTTCACTTGACAGTCAGATTTTGCTGCTAGCAAGGTCCGCATTGCAGTCGTCTGTCTGGCCATCTCCGCACATTGTTCAGGTCCCTCGTGCGCGCCCATACTTGAGATGCCATCCTGATTGATCCTACCATATATACATCTATATAACATGTGTATATATATATATATATATACTTATTTATATGTGCGTGAGATTCGTTGAGATTGTGATTGTGAAGTGCCAGCATATATGAGTGAGTGTCGAAGTTGGGGCCAGGGCCTGCATCAATGCAGCACCGTCATGCACTGTCGAAATCGCAATCGTCTGAGTTTCAAGTCTCGTGTTCGCCGAGAGCTTTCGGCACGCTCGGAGATTGCTCCTTTTAAGTTCTGCGCGTGCGGTGTCGACAGCAACACCGGCTGTGAGGCAACTGGTACCAAGTGCCAAGTACCAACAATAGACGGGAGGGCATGGGAGCCACCAACAGTCTGATCGGTTAAGTACGAGGGACTGACTCCGCATGTGTCACAAGGAGATCGAAGAAAAGGGTCATGCAGCCAGGATAGCGTACAGTCGCGGAAACTCCTTCACGATCTGTCGCACAAGTCCCAGAAAACTCGCTAGTGCCGCCTGAAATGATGCGACTCCCAACCTGCAGGCTATGCACTGTAGGACGCAAGGCAAACCCACACAGGCCTGTCGGAGAACCACAGCACCTTGGCGATAAGCATCCGAGCCAAACTTGGAAGCTTGTAGGGTTTGCGGCCAGGCCCCCCCGCGTTTGCAAAGGTGAGAGGCAAGAGCTTGATCCAGTCCGCCAAAACTGAGTTGGGATTCACCCTGCACTGAGCCAGCCGAAGAGTGCGGATTGCAAACCTGTGTCAAGAGTTACCCGCCTCTCGAGCGCCAAACCCAGGCTCAAAATCGCATGTGCATCACAGCTATGACGCCTCGACAAAGGCACTGAATCACTGGGTCGTACGATTCTGCTGGTGGGCTTGAGTGAGCCTTGATGCTTCGACCACCGCAGAGTGCACACTCTTCAGTGAGAAAACCTGCAGCACTACAGGATCTTGAGCTAAATCAAGGAAGCCATCTGCACCCCTCCGTCCTGGGTGGAGGGAACCCTCAAAACCGTCGATCTGGAGGGAAGTGTCCTGAGACGCAGCTGCAGGACGTAGTCGCTCTGTGACGCATGGATTTTCAGCACCGGCGTCTGATGTGACTTTTTGACTGTACACTGTACACTGTGGTCGCATCTTGGAGCCGGGGCGAACGATTGCTCCCGGCCTAATCGCTCTCTTCCGAGCTATCTTGTGGAACCTTTTCAGGGCAAACGTGTCTGAGCCTTTTGTGCAGCTTTGCTGTAGGCAGCGAGAGCACCTCGGAGAGACCGCGGTCGGAGCCCTCGGGAGGCAGATTCAGTGCCGCCAAGCATGCGACGCCCTTCGGATTCATATCCTGGAAAGAATTCCGATCTCCCCTATGCTCCAGTAAGTTGTGCAACCAGCCGATCATTGTGTAGCATCCATTCCCGGTCGCATAAACCCGCCCGCCACAAGCAAACTCACCGGATGGCTTCAATTGCTCTGACAGCAGCGTGTTGCGCTGCCTCATATAGGTGGCTCCGCGAACCACCCACCAATGATACGGTGCCATCTGCAGAAATATCGAACTCACACGGAACCCACGCAGGACCGTCACACGTCTGGTGAACAAACTGATTGGGATCCACGATCATCTGGTAGCGTGGTATCGGCCTGTCAGGCACTAAGGCCGCGTGCTCATCCAGCAGCTGTCGCACAGGCAGATGTAGGCAAGTACTCCAGACATCGCTTCGCACACCTCCCCACTGCCTGGTTCCTACCGGCAGCTTCCAGGAAGGTGCCTGAGGGAAATATCCAAGCGGCTTCAAAGGCTCATAGCTGCCTTCTGCGTAAGAAATGGCTTGGCGTTTGCTATAGACCAGCCAACACATCTGCGCATGAGCTTTACCCACGTAGTTTCTGGTCACCCACGTCCGCCGCTCCTTCAGAGCCTGGATGGGTTCCAAGACATCGCGGAAGTCTGGACGAACCTCCCCTTCTCCCAAACTCGGATCGCCATCGCAGTCGATCTTTCGGCACAGGAGGGGGCGACAGTCTGCAATCGTCTGCTTTAGCGTTAGAATCCCTTCCCAGACAGGGTCGGACCTTGATAGCTCGCGGCCATCACGCAGCAAAACCCCAGTAATGCCCCCTGTCTCTTCTGAGATCATTTCCAACAGAAATCCAGCAGTGAGGGGCTCAGGCTGCAGTCTCGCTCTATCTCAAACAACACCTCACCACTTAGGCTGTGTCCATGAAGGCCCTGCTCATCCAGGTACACCGTCGATATTTGGTGCCTGGGGAATGGGTCTGGGAATCTGAAGCCTCTGAAACTCTCAGGCTCTTCCTCAAAATCTTCTTCATAATCGTCATAAAAGTCATCGCCGTCATCAGAGTCCATTCTACAAACTTCATCTTCTCCAAACTTCACCATCCTCGCAGATAGCGCCTCTTCATAGCCATAACGGTCGTGAGGGTCCATGGCGAAACGAAACAGCCAGATGCAAACTAAGGCACCGAGCCGAAAAGAGCAACAACGCTGCCCAGGAATGCTAGCTATCCGTCTAGCGATAGAGCCGACAGCAGTAGCAAGACGTCAAGCTGGCTGCACCGATAGCTTGCTCACGATAGGCGGTACAGATCCAGATCGGCATCACACTGTCACGCCCAGTCCTGGATGCCACGGCACCGGTACGGCCGCCGAAGACTTGTCGAATGTCAAACTGCACTGTGGCACCCCTTGCGAAGAGACAAAATTGACAACAGATACTTCTGCGTCGCTGCTGCAGGCCGCCTGCGCACCATGTCCGCCACGAAATTTCGGCGACGTAGGTCGAACTGACACATCGCAGATTGTACACAGATCACACGCGGCCAATCGCATCATTCTGTCAAGATCGCAAGAAGAGCGCTCAGCTTCTTCGTGCCCCCCCGGCCTGGATGCCTTCTTCCGTCTCTGTGCAGCATCTGTCATAAGTGAAGACCTGCCGCTGCTGCCCCGGCCCAAACCGAGCTTTGGCTCCGGCTTCGCATGGGTGCCCGACAGAGTCCCAGCAAAGGGGGTTACCCTTGGCCCCAGGTGCGCTGCAGCAGATTTCGGGAGTCCAGCCTCCGACCTAAGAACGGCTTTCAACATCGACAGATACTAAAGTCCAGACTTAGAGTCTTAGAGCAGTTCCCAAGCTTGGGCTCCAGCCCAGCATTCTGCAGAGGAAAAGGCATCGACTCCATGGACAGCTGCAACAGAAAGGAGCAGCCTGCCACTGGAAAAGCGCACACGCACTGGCTTCGCTTTCGCATGCGGCTCGCACCTGCCGCCAAATGAATGCCGCCGCGAACGACCCGCGACCGGCATCCTGCACCAGCGACTTTATATCGTGCGCAGTGGGCTACAAGTCTTCACATAACGTCACATGCTTCACCAACACCTGCAGATTGCCTGCAACGTGCAACAAAAGTGAAGCTCCTCTACAGCTATCCAAGAGCCGAGGACGCCATCATGCTGCGATCTTACAAAGACCCATTTGCCGAAAGCAGGACGCAGGTCGAGTCTTGTCAAGGGCATTCATGATTCAGCTTGCATGGCTTGCCCACGCTAGTAACAGTAAAGTGCCACTCGTCTAAAACAACGATGCTTCATGGTGCGGACCACAAGTTTTGCAGCTACAGAGTTTCCACATAGTCCGTCAAAACACATTGACATGTACTCCCGTCTACCCAAGCTACCATGTGAGCCCCTTGAGAACAAGCAGCGACACGGGAGCTGAAACGGTGAAGCCCCCACTGGTAGAATGCATAAAGGGTCTGCGTTCTGGCAGATGTGTTTCCTGCGACGCTCCTTCGCCTTGCCGCCGCTTGGGGGCTCCGAGGTTGTGGGAGTCGATGCTTCCGTGAACAGCCGGGCCCAAACCCTGGGACCGCACCACCGGCACTCAGAACTTCCGGTGCGGGAGGCTTTGCACCTGAATGGAGCTTTTGAGAAGCCAACACAAGCACAGAAACGGACAGAAACTGCAGGCAAGGCACAGCACACTGCCCAACGCCTCATGAGCTGGCTGTGGACTTCTTTCACTTCTCCGATGCTCTGGGGCTGCCACAGAGACCCAGCATAAGGAAAGCAAGGATGGTGAGCCCGACGAAGGTCAACGCACTGACACCACAGTCACCGATGCTTCCAACACTTCTTTGCAGAATTCCTCATCTGCCGCCTGCCTGGCATGCAAGCTCTCCGCGTAGAGCCCCGGCTCCTGCATCCTGCGAGGCACGAGCTTTGGGGAAGGTCTGCCCTCGCATCCTACAACTCCAGCAGGTTCCCCCCTGAAAGCTCGACATGCGACAACAAGTACGTGCATAAACAATCAGATCAGCAACGCCTTGCAACGGCAGCCGAGAACCAGAAAAATTTAGAAAGAAAGCTAGAATCTGGCCGAGATTCTAGTTCTTGCACTGAGGGGAAGCTCTCCCTGATATACACGGAAAATACAACACTCCGCAGGCAAATTGGTCTCAAGAAGCGGCATCAAATGCTGCGACATGGGTCCAAACGAGAAGAAGTATCTGCGAATCCGGGAGGATGCCATAGCCATTCACGGACTGCGCCATACCTGCACCAAATGCATACGGGAGTTTCCGAAAATACGGGATTCCAATATAGTACCCTAAATAATAGGATCCTCAATATAAGGACCCCAATATAAGGTATCCCTAGTTTTGGAAACTCCCACATGAAACATCACGCAGCACTTGCTGTCATCGACAGAAGTGTGGGTGTGTGCATGCATGGCTTGTTCAAAGACCGATCTGAGTGCACGTATCTCGGGTCACGTGCTGCTCTGGTGAAGATGCCGTCGCCTGCAGAACGTCACAGGAAGAGTTTCATCGGAAAAAAGGTCCCAGTTACCAGGGCTGTCAACTGATTTGTAGCGTCCCGTCGAGATTAAGGCAGCTATGCAAGAGTCAAAGACAGTTGCGTCTTACGGCATGCATTTTTGGCATGAATGGGCAGGCTTCCTGAGGAGCACACCATCAGAGAGGACAACACCGGAGCCCCCTGCTGCATCCTAGCGCCAGGGCTGGGAACTTGAAATTTCGGTTGCTGTACACAGACCCTTGCCACAACCACAGCATGTACAAGCTTGTACCAGATTCTCCTCTGCTTAGACTTCGTCAGTCCTGAGATCCCAGGCACGCGAAACTTCCTGTCAAATCACACGTCATGGATGCAATCAGCCCAAGCTGCACGTAAATACCACCTTGCCCGAGCCTCTCCGGGCACAGCAGTCGATCCCTGTCACCCAAAAGGATACGTTGGAAGCCCGACTGGCTCTGCCTCGCAAAAAGGGCTGTGATACTGCTCTCTGTGTAACGTTGACTTAGGGTAGCATTGCTGCGGTAGCACAAGAAATCGAGGTCAGCGCTCAGGACCGGCGCGACGCAGTACAGATGCCCCCCCTGCATCACGTTTCTCCCTTCTGAGGGCAGGTACTTCAAGGACACCACACACCGTGCCTTCATGAAGCCGAGGGCCCTGGAGACCTCAGAAACTCCCACAATTTATGCAATATGCAAATGTGGAGAAGTTTCAGACACTGCAATTCGTCAGCCGGCATCGATGTAGGCCGTCTTGTCAAAAGCCATGAAAGAAGCATCCAGATAGGAAGCACCTGAGCAAAAGTCATCAAAATCACTGTGGGAGCTTTCACAAGTCAGGCTGAGATTTTCCTGTGCAGGTACACTGCCTAGCCTTGGCTGCACTACAACAAACCCCTCCTTCTGAAGCGATCTGTCTCAATACCTGAATCCAACTCAAAGACCGCTCTCAGTTTCGTACCCGGCGAAAGGGGACTTACGCCTTCGTAAACGGCACCGTACCTGCAGGCGGACCCGAAGAGATGAAGTGAAGCAGTGTCTGTCCGAGCGCCAGAAAGATCCAAACTTCAGGATGAACATCTTGGGCTTCTTTTCCGAAGATCTCACTCAAAAAAGATGAGGTTCGGACCCTAGGCGCCAGTACTCATCCATGAAGGTGGACCTAACAAATGTCGTGAATGATTGCATTGCATAGAGAGTGCGGAAACTGCTCGCGGCACAAGAAGTCTGCAATGACTACAACCGGGACAGTTCCTACAGCCGGCAGCGCGGCTGCAAAACTGGACAGGCGGTGAATTCGAGTCCGTGGCTCGATGTATTCTCCAGCCGGAATTGCTGCCAGAATGGACTGCCAAGGCAACACTAACACTATTCCGCAGAAGATGGTCACAACCAGCTTCGACCCAGCTACCCGCAAACAGACTGCAAGACACACTTGTATTTGCGAATCCGGCAGGGCGCACCGCGATGACCAAGCAGCCCAGCAGCACTTGGGCCTCATTCGGTCGCATGACGGGTTCACATGCTCGCACAAACTCGCCCGCCGCTGCAACAACACCACAGCACGCAGGTAGAACAGGACAACAACCCTTTTTAGCAGCCGGAGCTGCTGTGACTCATGACGTTCTTCGCGTCAGCATGCGGAACCCCAAATTTCAATCGACACAACTGAAAGGCAGTGGGGACCCTTTATACTTCGAAAGCAGCTGGCTGCACCCTGGTTTCCGTGCCTGCTGCCGTCTTGCAGATCCGAGGCCGAGCACGAGCAGCGCTAGCCTCGCGCTGCAAGTGCTTGCAGATGTGCTCAAACCATCATGGATGCCAGCCAAGATGTTGCGGCATGCTCTACAACAAGTAGACGATAGCTTTTTCTGAGAGCAATCTTCCGTCTAGAGTTTAGGTCCTAGGTGCCCGACAGCTGAGAACAGGCTATGAGGCCCCATATCAGCGGTCCGAATTCCTGCAGACACACAGAAGATCACGTGTCAAACAATCGTCGTCTGCTCCTTCCGTCGTAGCGGCGAGGCTTCCCGACAAAATGCACATCATGTGCCAGTAAAAACTGCAACAGGCAGGTGCAGTGGTCCTTGAAAGCGAAGACGAACAAACACAGCGTCAAGGAGAATCTGAGTGGTCTTCAACCCGGTTGCAATCATAGAGCTGAACGGTGCTGGACAAATGCGGCTGATGACCCAAGTGCGAGGCGCTATCCACGGCAGCAGCAGCAACAAGGTCGCCGTGATGACGGCGGTTCCCGCGTTCTGCACACGGAAACGACAAATCCGTAGCACGTATGCAGACATGTGGTTCCCTGACAACTTTCGATGGAACTTGACTAAGTATTCCCAACCATACTGAAAGCACGTGCCAGCATTACACGCGAGCTCTCCGGCGAGCCTTCTGCACCGCCGCATGCACACCGTTCATGCATGTTGCGGTACAATGTTATCCTCGCATGACTCCAACAATAGCGTGCAACGATCACGTTATCTGTTCGGAGATGTTACAACCGAGAATTTGCTAGTGCGAACCTGCCAACCCCGTCCGACATGAACCAATCCAGCACTGTATGTATGTTGCCCAACATGCGACTGAAAAGGACAACTTGTGTCAGCCACCAAACTTGCTACACTACGTTGCTCATGTTCCATGGTTCTCTTCTACTTTCTCGATGTTGGTCCAAGCAAATGACAAGCTGAATCCAAAACATCCAAAACTATCATGCGATTGGGGCATAACCAAACCCTTCGGACGCCCATAGCCTTGTGTGATGATGAAACCTAAGCAGTTTGTAAAACGCAAAATACGTTACACTAAATTCAGATCAGCCTTGTCCCATGCATGTTGTGAACCTTGGTATTATTGTCTCAACATTTGTGTTTCTGCTTGTTTGTTAACACCTACGGGAGCCCTGCTGGAGCCTTACCAAGAAAGCATGTCCCAGTCCAAACCATGATTCCTAATGTTTGACCTACAAATGGTCATACACGGAGCACGGTTTCCAGAAGTGACCTTCCGTTTAATTTTACATAAACAAAACATTGCACAAAAAAATGTATCTATATAAAAAAAATATGTATGCATTTTCATAAAATACCCTTTGCCCTTGATGCTAAAACGTTCGGGACTCTTAGAGTTCCTCTACGAAGTTTCATATGAATAGTTCGTCGCATGTGATTGTAAGCGTTGCAGCAGTTGTGCTGTGGTATCTGTGTGCCAAGTGATAAAAATAAAAGTTTGGAAGCTGCAAATGACAAACGGCTTGCCAAGTGAAGCTGTAACATTTTTCATCGACCTCTTGCTTCCTTGAAATTTTCCAAGAACTGGAAGACGTGCTACGAAAAAAAATCAAATATCATGTTCTTCTTGCAAACGCTACATTCCATTCTGTAAGATAGCATGCTTACAATCTTTCGGATACCTTCCTCTGGCCTGGAAGCACGTTTACCTTCTTGTGCCGTTCATGGATTTCTGAAAAAAAGATTGCGACACATGTTTTCAATGAAGTGAAGAAAGGTTCGTGTTCTTTACCCTTAGTTTCACTACATTCAACCCCAGCACACAACGCCGCGGAAACTAAGAGAACATTCCATAAGAAGGAGAAGTCACTTCCAGAAGCGATCCGTGAGCTGGGTTAACAGCGTCCAGTGGCAGTTTCTACCTCATGGTCCGGCTCCTGGTTTCGTTCTCTAAGTTAAAGTAAGAAAAGAAAGACCGTGAACCAAAAGATCCATTTAATTTAGGCATATTCGGTTATAGGAAATTAAAATGAAAACACCAAATTATAAGATATTTAATCTGGTGCAATAACAGACTTAAACGCAATGAAACGTTTTCCAACTGAAGCAATTAAATGATGAAAAAAGGACAATTGGAACAAACCTCTTTTAAATTTGACGTTCTGCAGCTGACATTTCAAACATTCGTAAACAAACGACTAATTCGTTTCGAAGCAAACAAAACAAATTAAATAAAGCAAAGTGAACGTAACCCGGAACAACAATATGCTTATGTTTCATTTCGTGGTGGTTCTTGCCTTTTGTTCTTAGACTTTCTTCTTAAATGATTTAGCATTAGTAAAACAACAGGCATTTCCAAAAAAAATCTGGCGCCTGAAACCGTTTGTTGTGGTCTTTTTCTGTCTTCCTCTTCAAATACACGGGTAACCTGTGTTTGCTTCATCGCAGGCTGAGTGAATGGTTGGTGGTTGTGGTTCCGCTGTGTTTCACTGACTCTAAATCAATGTGTAAAGCTTTTGTTTTGTTTACATCTGTGGCATTTCTTGTTCAAAGGACGGATGCACTGACCTTCTGAATTTCTCGGCTGCGAAGTCACACAACTCTTCAACTTCGTTTTTTGGCGTAAGATGGAATGCAGACACAAGTGAGGCATGGCGCAATCGACAAGTTTTGGCGAGCACGGCCAACTTTTCAACTTCGCCGAGACCGCAGCATCTTTCATGTCTCTAAGTCGGCGATACTCAGGGTGTTCAAACTTCACTCGAAGCGTTGACAACCCGTTTTTTCGAAAATTTCCCTTTTTGGTCGCAGCCTACAAGCAGGAAGGGGGCTTGAAGAAGGTTTCATTTAAGGTCTTGAAGGGAAGAAGCGAGGGAAGACGAAAAGAGGGCCAGGAGATCAGATTCAATTTGTCAACCTGGGTTTCAAACTTGATTGACCAACCTGTGGATTTTGAACCTGGGCCAGGTTGTCGATGTTGTTGGTTGCGTGTGCTTCAATCAGTCAAAACAAACCATAAAACGGAGAACAGAAAAACTGTTGAAACTAAAGGCTTCTCAAGCCTTCCTTCCCACTCTACTCGCAAACACACTTTTCTCACTTCGCGGGCTGACTTGCTTAAGCCTCCGTGTTGCGGTTCACACACATGTTTCATGTGTTCTCGTGATTACTCTACACACTCTACTTGGGACTACGTGCACTAGGTTACAAACGAACACCCCGCCTCAGAAAGTTCTTGCGGGTTCCTAGGGTGTTCTTGGAAACTGCTAGGGCTTTCTGTACAGTGCTTTTGCTAGGGACTTTCGTCTCCGTTGTCCTTGGTCTTTTACCTAGCTGCACTCCTGCCCTGTTGCTACTTAGGCCTTCTATGTCTGTACATTGGCCTTCCTGAAAAACCTACTCTGTATGTACAGCTACGTTCTAGTTAGGTCCAGCCTATGGACTCTTTGCGGGGAGGCCCGTACCCCGGTTTCCTTCTGCCCTTACGTAGCCTACGGGCTTTTCTTCTTTCGGGCTTCTTCTCTTTGTTTTTGGCTTCTCCGGCTTCTTGCCTCTTCTGGCCCTTGTACCTTCCTAGGCTGCCTTTTGTGAAACTTCTTGTGAGACTTTGGAAGGTTGTAGCTTACCTAGGCTTACTGCCCCAGTTTGCTACGTCTATACATTTGCTCACACTTTGTACATGAATTCTTGTGCTAGTATACATCAAGTCTTACGTTGCTTAGCTATGTACATATGTACAAGCGTTCACTGCTTGACCTGCTCGATCATCCCTTCTCGGGATCCTTTCACTGGGTCTGCACCCAGTTCTTGGACTTCTTGCCTTTACCCTTTCCTTTGGGTGTCCACTGGTCCCACTGGTTCTGCTGCGCCCACTCTTCAGGCGTCTGCCAGTAGCCTTTGTTCTGGGGGTTCGCGTTCTCGTACCAGTTGCTGCCGTCGTCGGTGGTGCTCCAGTTCTCGTTGTTCCACTGGTCGTTGTACCACCAACCGTCGTTGTGTCCGTCGTCCCAGGAAGGGCCTTTTCCCTTCGTTCCTTGGTTGTCGTGCTTGCCTTTCGCGTGGATGCGTCGCTGCACCTCTTCCTCGATCTTCTCGTTCTCCTTGGTTTCGAGGAATTTATCCAATTCCTTTCCGTCTGTAAACCAAATGTTGTGTTTCCTGTAGCACTCCGTCACCTTGTTCCAAAGGAGGCGGCCTTTCACCGGAGCGTTCTTGATTCTTGGGGCTCCTTTCTTGTCCTCACACTTCGCGCGGTACTCTTGCGTCTTCTTGTTGAACTCCCACACGTAGCCAAGCTGCGTGAACTCGGCTATGTCGTTCGGGTCGACGGTAGTTTCGTCTCCTTGGTTGCTTGACGGCTTCTCTTCTTGGTCTTCTGTCTCTACCTGCTTTGGCCTTTTTCCTTTCTTCTTCTCTTCCTCTTTTGCCTGCGCCTCTTTCTTCTCTTTCTCTTCTTCTGCTTTGCTCTTGTACGCTTCTTCTGTCTCTTCTTCACCTTCGCTTCCAGACAAGGTTGCACCTAAGGTTTCCTTGAGGCTCTTGACCTTCTTCTTGTACTTCACGATCTTGTCCTTAGCTGCAAGTAGAAGTGCGTCCACTTCCTGTGAGTAACCTTTGAAGTACTGGTAGTCGTCCTTGAGGCTCTTGTAGTCGTACTGGAGGTCGTCGAGCTTCTGGTTCCTTACTTTCTCTTCTTGCTTTAGCACTTTAAGCTCTCTCTCCAAGTCCTTCTTTGCGTCGTCAACGTACTTCTTGGCGTACTCTTCTCTCTCCTGGTCGTAGCCGGCGGTTCTTTCCTGGGCTTTTCTCTCTCTCTTCTCTGCCTCTTTCTTCTTCTTTTCAACCTCTGCTTCCTTTGCTTTGACGTTCTCCTCAGCTTCTTCGAGGGCTGTCTCCTTCTCGCTTAAGACCTTGGCTTGTTCTTGGAAGGTCTCTTGGTCTTTCTCTGACTTCTCTTCTCTTTCTGTAACTTTGTCTTCCTTTTCCTTCACCTCCTTCTGCTTCTTCAAAAACCTTTTCACTGTCTCCTCAAACTCTGTCTTTTGGTTTCCGAACTGCTCCTTTTCCTTCTCCAGGCTTTCCTCAGCTTTCTTCAACTTCTCTGCTCTCTCTGTCACTTCTTTCTTTGCCTCGTCGAAGGAGTCCACGTCGTAGTTCACCTGAGCGGCAGGAGCTTCGTCTCTTTTCTTCCTTCGGTTCTTCTTCTTCTTTTCCTTCTCTCCACTTCTGCTTCCTGAGCTGCTTTCCTCTTCTTCACCGCTGCTCCTCTCTTCTCTCTTCGGCTTCTTGTGCTGCTGTGGCTTTCTCATCTCGTTCACGACAAACCATGCCGCCATGCACACCATGGCGAGAGTCACCAGGACTTCCAGAAGCGACATGCTTCCAGGACTGCTTGGGACTTCTTGTGGGCTTGCTACTTCTTGAGCTGCGGCGAAAGGTACGTAGGCTGCCTCAGTCTTTCCAAACAAACTCGAAAGTGCAAACAACATGCTGCTTTTGTTCTTCATGATCTTCTCGAGTCTTCTCACCACTTGTGCCTTTTCTTCTTCCTCTCGCTCTTGCTCTCCAACTCTTCCTTCGCTGTTGCACATGCCGATCATGTTCAGGAGAAACTTCACTCTTTTCGTGCTGAGAGGCTTTGTTCATAGGTCTGCTGTGTTCTCCTTTGTACCGACTGCGTGTACAGTAAGCTTGCCTTCGCGTATTGCTGCTTGTAGCCAAAGTAACCGAATCTGCAAGTGCTTGACTCTGCCTGTCCCTTGGCGGTTTGTAATTCCGCGGCATGCGGAACTGTCTGTGTATGCTTTGAGTAGTACTCGTTCTCCTGTAAGGAAACGAACTGCTGCGTGTAAACCTATTCCTTCGCTTGCTGCTCCAGTAAGTGCCATGTATTCTGCTTCTGCTGAAGATAATGCTATCGACTTCTGTGTCCTGCTGTAGCTGTAGAAATATGCACCGTCCAGGTAGAACATGGCGCAACTCACTGACTTCCTAGTCTGCTTGTCTCCGGCCCAGTCGGAGTCGCTAAAAACTTCCAGCAAACGTTCGCGTGGTTGTTCTCGAGGTTCTTGTAGTTCTTGTGGTTCTTCGGCGCGGTGACGTAGAGCTGACGTTCCTGGGCTGTTCCTGTGGTACGTAACGGCGTAGTCTGACGTTCCTTTGAGGTAGAGCGCCAAGTGCTCCAACTCCTTTCTTTTGCGTTCCGTTGGCTTCGTCATGGCAGTACTGAGGCTACGTACTGCGAACTGAATGTCCGGACGGTCGTGCGCTACGTACAGCAAAATGCCGACACAACTTCTGTACGTTCTCGAGTGTTCCTCGTCCAGTTCTTGGGATACGTCAGGTTCCTGACTAGCCGGTGTGCAGGGTGAGTTCTTGGCCTTCTTCTTCTCCAGCTTGAGGATCTCCACGAGTTTCTTCACGTACTTGCTATCGCTATGTACTCGTAGTTCATGTTGTTCGTACGTGTACTTCCTTTTGAGAAACTTCACGGTCTCCTCAGAAAATCCTTTCTCGTAGTCTTCCTCGTTCAGAAGAGGTCCTTCAACTTGTAGGTTCACTTTCTTCTTGAGGTTCCTGAGGATTGGTTCGATGACTTCCTTCTTTCCTGCAAACTGCAAGTCATCTACGTGCACAATGCAAACTGCAACCACTTTTCCTTGTCGTAGAAGACGGTAAAGTGCTGGAACTGCTGTACAACGCTCAAACTTCTCTTCCACCAAAAGACCATCACAAAAGTCTGACCAAAGACTGGATGCGTCGCGTTGACCTGGCAAAACTCTTCCTAACTTCCAACACCAAGTTCCAGGGTTGCGTTCTTGTTGTTCCTGCATTGCTTGTACGACGTGAGCTGCTTCTTCAGGTACTCGACACAAACAAGGTGTTCTTTGAGGGACTTGTAAAAACGCGTCCTTCACGTCGACACTGTAGATCGCCCAATGGTTGGCGAGAGCCAACATGGGCACCAGTTTTGTAATTCCTGGGCTTGTCGCAGGAGAAAATATATCTTCCCTTTTTCCTTCTGTCTTGTATTCTCTGGCTACTAGTCTGGCACGTCGTTGCCAGCATCTTTGAATCTGCTTGGGCTTTGTTGTTCCTTCTTTGGCTTCTTCAGCTTCAAAACCTGTAGCTTCTCTGAACCTCCAATCTTTCACCAACTTCGTTGTCAACCACTTGTGAAGTTCTTGCTCTGAATCTACCAGAGGTACGTTCTCAGTTGCTTCCTGAGGGTCCGTAGAAACCAACGAAATAACTCCCATCTTTGTTAACCTCTTGATTTCTTTGACTGTAGCTTCATCATCCAACTTCTGAAGAAAAGCCGGATCCACGTTCGGTGGTCCTTTCTCCTCGTCGAAGAACTCGACAGGGACCTTGGTAGAAACTTCCGTTGGTTCACTCTCTGTCTCCTCTTCTTCTTCTTCCGACTCGTACACAAACTCATCATCTGCTTCGTAGACTTCATCATCATGAGGCATGTTGAGGTAACCGTCTGTTTCCTCTGCTCTGTTAACTTGCTTTCGTAGCTTGCTGGGTGAGCTTGGTTCCTCAGGCTCAAGGCTGTGCTTGCTTGCTTCTGCTCTTGGTTCAGCTGGTGCTGAAAGTGCTTCTGCTGAGGCTGTAAGTGGCTCAACTGCTCTGAGTTCCTCCAAAAGGGTCTCGTCATCAACTTCAGCTCTTCTTTTCCTGTCTCTCGTCACACTCATGCTGCTGGCTTCACTTTGTTCCTCTCTGTCTTCAAGTGCTCGTTGCTGCTCTTCACTGCTGTCCTCCGAACTCGGAGGGTCGCTAGCGGCCTCGTCGTTCTCGAGCTGTTCGCGTTCTTCCTCGGCAACAGGGGGCAGGATGCTTAGCTGTGGTCGTTGTCTTTGCTTCTTCTCTGGAAGTACTCTTGCTCCAAGGAGTGGTGTGTTGAGGTTCCAGGTATGGACCTCTATGTTGCTTGTTCTTTTGGAGTCGTACTGTTCTGGTAGTGGTCTCACGCTGCGTGTGATATGTATGCCATCAGGCTGTGCAACGATCCATGTGTCTTGCTCTGTCGTGCCTAAAAATATTCCTGCGTTCCATATCCTGTCACCTTTCTTCTTGATCTTCAACCTCTTCGCCATCACAACAGTACCAAAGGGTACAAGTTTCCCTGAGTAGGGGTATCCGTGGATAACTTCCTGTGGCGTTCTTCCTGTGGAGCTGCTCACTGCGAACCTGTTGAGTAGCCAGCAGGCGTGTCTAAACGCCCAGCTTACTACCAGCTGTGTTCTTTCTCTGAGTTCATCGAGAATGGTGTTCGCTTGCCTCCGTACTGTTTGTATTGCTCTTTCTGCGGCTCCATTGCTTTCGTGGTCGTAAGGAATGCTTTCCTGTAGTGTTGTAGAAAGTCCAAGGCTGCTGCGTACTTTCTGTACTTTGTCCTTGAGTGCTTTGGCTGCGTTCTCGTTGTCTGCTTTGAGAACGAGGGTGTTGTACCCGAGCTGCGTGGTGAACTGCACGAGTGCTTCCGCGAGATGCGTCGTGCTTCCTGCACCTCCTTTCCTCTTGCAGGGCACCGAAAGAACTGCCTTGCTCCAGCTGTCCACAGCGACAAGAGTCACTGCTGGTGGCTCTTCACTTCCTGTGGTGCTTGTATAGCAAAAGTCAAAACTGATGACGGGCTTCGCGGAATCCGTAGAGCTGCTTGGCTTGCTCAATCCTTTCTTGTGGTTGTCTTCTCGTGCTTTCATAGCAACGCAATGGGGACACCAAGGCTGATACGGAAGGTGCGTCAAGTTGTGGTACGCTCTCTCCTCTTCCGTTGGTTCCTGTGGTGGTGCTAGGTGGTATGCTTGGTGGTGTTCCCGTTGTTCCTTGTGTTGCGTGCTGAGCCTTTCTTCTCTGACTGCTGTGGCGAGTCTCTTCAAGAGCTGCTTCTTGCTTCCTGTTGTCTTCACTCTGTACTCTCTGCAAAGTGCTTGTAGTTCCTTAAGACTGCTTTTCTGCGCTGTGTACTCGACGCCTTCGTGGTAGAAGCTTTCCTCCAAAACTTCAACAACTTCTTGTGGTGCTTCTTGGTCTGCTGGTGCTTCTCTCATCTCTTCGTCTTTACTCTCCTGCGCTTCTGGTGGTGCTGCTGAATCTTCCTTCTTTTTGTAGTGTTCTTCCTTCTTCTTCTTTAGCTCCTCTGCTGCAGCTTCTGCTTTTAGGTCTTCAACAACTTCTGGCTTCACACGGAACCTTGTTTGACCAAACCACGGCAAACGAAAGTGTTCACGTAGAGGTAGGCGGTCTGCTCTCCAGTCGTCGCTGTGTTCGTAGATCTCCGTACTGTAGATGCAGTCTCCTTGGGTATACCTGCTGTTCTCAAGATCTCCAAGGAGGACAGGACAGTTGGCAACTCCTGTCGGGTCAAACAGCACAGTTCTCGGTACTACGTGGTGACGAACAACTTCTCCCTTCTCGAGGTCTATTTTCCAGTAGTCACGACCATGACTTTCTTGCTCTGCTCGATCTCCAGCTGCGTAAGGGGTGCCAAGGATCCAAAGTGGAATTGGCTTTGCTGAAATGGCTGTAACCACTTCCTTTTCTCCTTCTGCAAACTCTTCAAAAGGGTCTGCCTTCTCGGAGTACTTCTTTGAAACTTCAACTGCTCTCCATCCTCTCTCTTCTTTCACCAAAGTGCTTCTGTACGGAAAGTGCGTAGGGCTATACATGAGAGATGGGTTCTCGTAGCTGCTTTGAGTGGCGTACTTCACGATCACCATGCTGTCTGTGTTGTGCCAACCAGGTTCTTCTCTGTTCACTGCTTCCTGAACGTGCTTGTTGAGCTGAACAACTGTCCGAACCATCTTGTAGTTGTTGCTGCTGTAACTTCTGCTTCTTGAAGGAGTTTGTACGTAGGCGTAGGCTGCCAAGCTGTTCTTGTGGAGATGCACTGGTATTCTTGAGCTTCCGTCTGTAAGACACATACCTTCTTCTTCGTTCACTCGCAACTCCCGGCCTTCTCGAAACAGCTTGCCTATGGCCATCAGCGGGTTGATCACCGAGGCAACGGTGAAGGCTTCCTGGATGCGACAAAAGCTTCCGTCGTCATCAAAGAACGTTAAGTTCAGCATCCTTCTGCCTTCTGTCTTTATTGCCTTTCCTTGTGCGTCCTGAATGGACGAAGGGCGAACCTTCAAAGGGGTTCCTTCTTTTCCTAGCCAAGAGGGCACAAGAGAAACGTCTGCGCCAGAATCCAGGATAACTTCGATTCTTTGGTGAAGATCACTTTCCTGGAAAAACTCTTCCTCTACAACGCGTACTGAGAGAACTTCTTGTGGTGGTAGTGCTTCACGTCCAAGGTACCAGTTTAGTAGAGGATCTTCTTGCTCTTCTTCGCTCTCTTCTCCTTCTGACAAAACAAACTCTTCAGCTTCCGTCACTCTCAAGACTCTTCCAAAGTACTCGATCTCGAGCTCTTCTTCGTCTTCGTCAAGTTCAAAAACTTCAGGGTACGTGACGGGATCGTTGTCCATGTGGTACATCGCGATCTGCCGAACTGTTGGCTTAGCTGTAGACTTCGCGCTTGTAGTTCTTGTTGTTGTGGCTGCCGAAGCGCTACTGCTTGGAACTGTGGTAGGCTGTGTCCTGACGCTTTGTTCGTCTTCCTCCTGTGCGTTCCTGACGTTCTGCTGCATGTCTCTCTGCTTGAGTCTGCAATTGGCTTCGTAGTGTCCAGGCTTTTGGCAGTAATGACAAACACCAATTCCTGGGTTGTTGTAGCCTTTACCTTTTCCTTTGCTGCTGTAGCCTTTTCCCCCGCCTTTGCCATATCCTCGGCCTCTGCCTTTTCCTTTTCCTTTTCCTCGTCCTTTTCCTTTTCCTCGGCCTTTGTAGTAGTACTGGCTTTCTCCTTTTCCTTTTCCTTTGCCGAAGCCTTTGCCTTTGTACTTGCCGAATCCTTTTCCTTTCTTTCCTTTTCCTTTGTCTTTTCCTTTTCCTTTCCACCATTCAACTCGTGAAACATCCATGTCTGCTTGTCCTTGGTGGTCCTTTCCTGAGTTGATGAGGTCTGTGGTAGTCCACCTTGCTGCTTGCTCGTAGGAGAGGAGGTACTGTCGTAGTGTACCGTACTTTGTGGTCTCTTTCTGGTTGAGTAGAAGATGCTGTCTCATGTTACCTTCGGTTCCTCCAAGTATGATGGAAATCTTCATGTCGTCCGCAACAAGGTCTCCACTCGCTCTCTCGTACTCTTCAATCAACTCCTCAAACTTCAGAATATTTTCTTGTGTTGACCTTTGCTTGTCGAACCTGTAGTGAAGAACTCCGTTAAGTAGTTGTAGAGAACGTGCACGGTTGTGAGGCTGATGTTCCTCCACCAACAACCTCCATGCTTCGAAACCGTTCTCGTTGGGTACTTGCTTTAGAGTTCGTAGAGGACGGCCACGTGTATAGCTGGTGAGGATGGAATGTAGCTTTCTTGAAAGTGCTTGTTCACCTGGGTTAAGTTTGTTCCATTCCCATGATGCTTCTCTTCTATCCATCTCGACTGCGTTGATCTTCTCAAGGATGTCGTTGTTGAGAGCGCCTATCCAACTTCTCAGCTTCAACCGAAACTCTAGAAAACCATCACGCTCTTCCTTGTACGTAGTAGGGCCAAAGACTTCTGGAGATTTGATCATCTTGTGGAGGTCGATCTCTCCTGGCCTTCTTGACTCTGCGTGCTGCGACAGTGCTGTAACTGCGTCTGCTGTAAGCTTTCCTGTTGCTGCAACCGCGTTTGCAGTAAGCTCTGCTTGTTGTGACAGTGCTGTGTTGGTTGCTTGGGTTGCTTCTGTAATTGCTCTCTGCTGTTGTGAAACTGACTGCGCGAGTTCCTGTAGTTGTTGTGAAGCGGTACCTGCCTGCGCTTGCTGACTGTTCATTGCTTGGGCAAGTGCTTGTATCTGTTGTGTGTTTTGGGCAGTAAGGTCCGTGAGCCTTTGCAAGGCTTCCTCCATCGCAACTGCACTCTGCATGTGACTGTAAAGCAACACAACATGCAACCAGACTCGCTTCTTGAAAAGAACGCTGCAAACTGACCTGTGCAACTTCCTTCTCGAAACTTTCTTCTTCAACTGTTCTCTTTTTGTTTGCTTAACTCTGACCCAAAAATAGAGGTAGATCCAAGTGACCATACCAAGCGGGGTCCCAAGTAGAAGTAGTACTGGGTGACACGTGCGCACGACGTAGCTCACGACGGGCTCAAGGCTTCTTCCTGCTTTCGCAAGGTACTCTTGAAACTCCAAAACCAACTCAAACACAAGGTTCTTGTAGTAGTTCACGTGGGGCACTTCTTCGTTCTTTAGGTTCTCGTTATACTCCGCGACATCACCTTCATGAAAACTGTAGTTGCAACTTTGTTCCTTTACTTCTGTTCTTGTAGAACTCGGAGTACACGTTCGTCTTCTTGAGGTAGCTCGTGACGTTGATCTCGTTCTCGTTCTCGGTTTGGTATTGGGCTCATGTAAATGCGACCACAACGTGAAAAGTTCTGTGTGATCACCTTCTTGGCTCTTCCCGGCAGGTACAACATCCGCTGGGGTAATCTCCTTTATCACATGCTTCTTCTTGGGGTTCTTGTTGTCGAGGCTGAGGACCTTGTTCTTGTAGTTCAGCATGCGGTTCGTGGCCAACGGGTAGCCGTAGGTCTCGTTCACTTCAAACACCATGAACCATGACATGCCCATGAGAACCACAACCATAAAGACTTTTAGCCAAAGGTACTTTCCTGCTGCTTCCAGAAAGGTTCTCTTGTACTCGAAGGTGCGTTGTTCCCGGGATCGGAGTCCGCCGGGACAGCAGTACTTGCATGGTAGTACTCGGTGTACGCTGGTTGCGTTCCTGAGGCCATGACATCTTCCTGAGGTGTGGGTCTTCTCTCCGTAAGGTGAGTACCAGAGTTCTGGTAGCTCTTCCTCAGCCGGAGCAACGCGCTCCACTGTCTCCTTTCTCACAAGTTCTTTCACAAAGCTTCTCGCCAGACACATCAGCGAAAAAGCCAAAGCCAAGGAAACCATGGCGACAGCTACCTGTTGTTCCTGTGATAGCTTCATCGCTCCCAAGAGGTCTGAATCAGGGAGCTCCGCTACCATGTTGAAACTAAAGGCTTCTCAAGCCTTCCTTCCCACTCTACTCGCAAACACACTTTTCTCACTTCGCGGGCTGACTTGCTTAAGCCTCCGTGTTGCGGTTCACACACATGTTTCATGTGTTCTCGTGATTACTCTACACACTCTACTTGGGACTACGTGCACTAGGTTACAAACGAACAAAAACTCAATAACGGAATGCACCGGAATCAACACACACAAAGAGAAGCATGAGTGGATTGAACGGTTCCATGCGTTGTCTTGCTGAAGCACATGGGACTTGATCGTTGCCCAGTCTGGCGGACCAAAGTGTTTGCGCTGTGGCTTCTCAAACTCACGCTGGCCCCGGAGTCGATATGGAAGTGTGAAGTTGCCAACATTAGCCAACATTTCAGAAATATCAAACTTTGAGAAAATGTAAACTTGGATTTCAAACGGATTCAAGTTAACCTGAGTTCACCTGCACCCGAACTGAACCTCATCTTCAAACAAGAGTTCAAAGTTCGAGTTAAACTATGTTTAATTTTTTTCCACCTGCCGCTCGTAGAGTATGCTCCAACTCACACTTGGAATTCAAACACTCCAAAGCTACATGACTGTTGCCATTGCGCTTTCTATTTCTTTACAGACGGTGAAACATGAGGGCGCATAGAAGCCCTACGCGCATAGAAGCTGAAGGCTGAAGGTCGCACATCGTTAAACGTTTCTTTTCTGTGGAGAAAGCAAAATTTTTTATTGTAGATTGTAGACTGTTGCAGTTGATTCATCGCTTGGACGGCCGTAGAAGAAGCTCGAAGCTGCTGATTGAAGAGATCTCTGCAAGTTTGGACGGCACAGTCGGCATTTTTGCGTTCCCGTGGCCGTTCTTTTTGCGGCAGTTCTTAGCTTGTTCCAAACTTTTTTCTCGGCGGCTGCAGTCGGTTCCCATCGAAAACAAACACACGAAAACAGCGGTGTAACGTGGACAGGAAAGGTGGCCGGGCGCAGCGTTTCGCGCGGTAGACGAATTTAATTCAAAAGAAGGCGCGCGCCGAAGGGCCCACGGAAGCCAATTTTCCAGCCTTTCTACCGCGTGAAACGCCTTGCCTATTTATAGACGACATTTGTGCGGCACGCTGGGTTGGAGGCTCCAGGTCCAGCCTTTCTACCGCGCGAAACGCCGCGCCTATTTATAGACGCCGCATTTCGTGCGGCGCACGGGTCGGAGGTTCCAGCCCAGCCTTTCTCCGCGCTAAACACCGCGCCTATTTTAGACGCCGCATTTCGTGCGGCGCGGAGTCGCAATTCCTGCCTAAACTCCGTTCGCTCAAGTCTCCCCTTTCTGACCTCTAGTTTCCAATTTTTCCAGCCTTCAGAAGCCTTCCAAGCCTTCCTTTTTCACCCTGGTTTTTTTTGGCGTCGGCGGGCCTCGTTGGCTACGACAGTACGCAGTCCCAGTAAACTACGATTAAACAAACACAAACACAAGAAAACAGCAGTGAAACGAGGCAAAGGGCGAACATGGCTGCATATCAGCTGCAGCGTGCGGACTTAGCAGGAGCTGTTCAGCGAATGTGCCACGCTCGCGACTCAGATTGTGGGTCGGCACTCGAAGCCATCCAAGACACCAAGTGGAGTCCAAGGCCATTCTAGTCCGTCGGACGAACGTCCCTCGTGTCTTGCTTGTTGCGAGTCGAGCACACCAAAGTCCAAGACCGAAGTGGCTCTCAGCAGGTAAAACACGAGCTGCACCGGAAGCAGCGTGCCACAATGTAACAACGGCGAGTCTAGAGACGGACCCTTAGAAGCAGAGGACGCGCTTGTCCAGAGGCGGCTTTTCGGGCGCCAGGGACATCTGAAAATGCTGCCATCGCGGACAGGTGACCTCTCCTTGCAAAGCGCGATAGAGCCCGGAGGAAAGACCACAAAAGAGCATCTAAAATGAGCCACCACCACGCCGCAGACAGCTCATACCAAGACAGATCAATTCTTCCTTTTTCATCCTGGCCGAACTTCACACTCAA